CCCGCACCACTCACACAACACCGCGCCATTAACATAAAATCGCACTGCACCACTAACACAACACTGTACCGTGTGTACATCGCACCACTCACACACCACACGGCACTACACTACCGGATGACAACATGGCACTATACAATACCGTACTACAACACATGACACCTCAAATCAGCATTAGGAGAAGGTTCTCCAAATACTACACCTCTTATACGGCTGTCCCAGCGTCTTACTACCCCATCAAAACTGGCACCATAGGCTGAAGAAAAAATCAATTGGAAGAAAAACTGGAAGTTTGGAGTACGTGGTGCCAGCTGTTTTTTCTGTTTTCGACAAATCTACAATTCACACACAATTCCTATACATTATTGTTTGTTATAATTATATGTACATGTGTCAGGAGTTCAAATTGCGTGCGCACTTGGCGCGGCACGTGGCGACGGCGCACGGCGCGGGCGAGGGCGCGCGCCCCGTCATGAAGACGCGCGCCGCCTTCTACTTGCGCGCTTCGCCCTTCACGCGGCTGGCGCGCCGCCTCGCGCGCGCGCTGCGCCGCCCGCGACACTACGCGCGCTCCCCCTTCTCCCCCATCAACCTGCACCAGGTCAAGCATGAGTGTGAGTACCCAACGTATGTTACACACTACTTAGTGGCCCTACACCTCTAGTGCCCTAGAACAAAATAGTCTAAGTTATTTCAGTACATAATAGCTACTTACCAGTAAAAAGTTTCGTGAAAATCGGTTTAGCCCTTACGGAGATTACTAGGAGTAAACTCTGTCTTGGGATAGCTTGGGATGTCTTGGGAAGCCTCTCAACTGTCGAAAGTATTTTGCGATAAATAAATGTTTAATATTTGCTATTTGTTTTAAAATTTGTACTAATATTTGCTTATACTCAGTTTATTCCTAGGTTTAACTTTATATCGCGTTTATTTGTAAGGCTGTTAGTGTTTTCATTAATATATTTTTTAGTATGATTTAAACATAGTAACAGTGTAATGAGTGCATTTGAATGTATTGCAGGCACGGTGGCGATGGCGGGCGGTGTGGGCGGTGTGGGCGGTGTGGGCGGCGTGGGCGCGGAGGTGCGCGGCGCGGCGCGCATGCGCGGGCCGGTGGGCGCGGTGGCGGCGCGGCTGGCGGCGGCGCACGGGGGCGCGGTGCCGCGCGCACACGACTGGCTCACGCTGACGCCGCGCGACCGCATGCCCGCGCCCAACCATGTCGCCTTCCCTAAGCCGCCTAAAGCGCCAGGTAACTGTATTGATGGACAAGTTGGTTTCTTAAAAAAAAACGGAAAGTTTCTTAAAAAGCAACTTATATTGGCCCAAATATCCACGCGAAATAATAAAAACTGTCTTTTGTTGGACTATGTTCATATATGTCAAATTTCACCGAGATCAGTTTTGCCCTTTTGGAGTTACCTAATGAGAAACAGCTATCCATCCAAATACTAATATTGTAAATGCGAAAGTTTAGATGGATGGATGAATGGTTGTAGTCTAAATAGATCTGGATAAAATTTGTCATAGTATTTTTGTTTTTTTTTTTTAATTCCACGCAAACGCAGTCGCGGGCAAAAGCTAGTTTATAATATTAGTAAAATTACAAATTATATAAAATCTTGTATGAAAATTTGCATGAAATATTTATTAACTTATTTGTGTTAGAACTTTTAACGTGAAAGATGTTTAATTATAGCAACATATGAAACAATGTTAAATGTTAATAATTATCTTTGTGTGTGTAGATGGTAGCTTGATGTACGAGCGCGTGGCGTCGCGCGCGGAGCTGGAGGCGCGCCGCAGCGAGCCCACGCCCGCGCCCGCGCCCGCGCCCACGCCGCAGCCGCCGCTCAAGCGACGCGCCTACGACGACATCAACGGACTCGACAGTCAGTATACACATTCATGTGGAAAATATATCATATCACATTATATCAGAAACAATAAAATATCAAAATGAAGTTAACTCTGTCCTTCAAACTGTAATTTCTATAGTCTAAAGTAATAGTTTTTAATATCTATCTTATCCTAATGCTTCTCTATGGAACAGCACCAGGTTAGTTGGAAATCACATATGTGACAACAGTCACTTACAAAAGCATTTGCTACCATGATACTTCAACTGAATAAAAATGTATAGATTTACAAAAGTTTTGATGCTTGTAAACGCTGGTTAAAAGAAACGTATACACTTATTCCTCAATAACAAGTGAACCAACCAAACCGAAAGCTTACATGAGTTTCTAAGGTTTTGTAAATGTATATTTATGTAGGTGAGTGTAGATTAGAATAGAATGTATGAGAGTGTGTGTCAGGAGCGGGTGTCGGCGGGGGGCGCGAGGGGCCCGCGCCGCCGCCCGCCAAGCGGCCCAACAAGCACCCCGCGCCCATGCAGCGGCCCTCGCGCGAGCAGTACGCCGCCATGTGCGCGCGCGCGCAGGCCACCGGCCAGCCGCTGCCCGCGCACGTCTTCACACACGTCAGTACACACTGCTTATTAACAGATACATCTTCTTCCTCTAGTCGTCACAAACACCTGTCTAAAATGTATTCAAAAATCACCAAATTTTTTATAATATCGCGCAGGTAAACGGCAAGCCGACGAACCTGACGGGTCGCGGCGGCCGGCGCCACGTCATCTCGTGGATGGACGCCCCCGATGACCTCTACTTCAGAGCCACCGATCTCGCCAAGTAAGTTTCTACACTACCTTTTTTGAATCATTATGACTATTTTTGTATTTGTACGCGTTTCTAGTGATTGCATTCATTATTAAAAATAATAAATGTGAAATTAAAAATATAGCCTATGGGTACTCAATTATAGCTTCTCGATGGTGAAAGAATTTTTGAAGTCTGTCCAGTAGTTTTTGAGTTATTTCAATACATTCATAAATCTAAAAATCTTTCCTCTCTATATTAGTATAGATTTATAGTTGTCCTAAAATGGATTATTTGTGTTATAGGGCGGGTCGACGGACACTGAGCAGCGGCGAGCTGCGCCGGGGGGCGCGCGCGCCGTGGCGGGCCATGCGCGGCGCGGCGGGCGTGGGGGGCGCGGTGGGCGCGGGGGGTGCTGCGCCCGGCAAGGCGCCCGCCGCCGCGCCACCGCTGCAACTTGTCATCCTCGACTGACAGGTACGGTTTACTTTTACGTTTCTTAATTTAAAAAATGATTCATACATAACAATATATAAATCTCTATCTTTACGAAATATGTGCAATATCAAGTAATTTGTTTTGGTGCAGGAGCCGCCGCGACCGCCGCACCCGCCGCACCCCTACACGATGGAGGCGCTGCTCGGCTGAGCGCCCACCCTTGTACATTCGCCGTGTAAATACGTCCGCCGCCCCCCGCGACCGCCGGCGCCCCCCGCGCCCTCCGGCCCGCCGGCCCGCCGCGCCCGTCGCCCCCCACGCGCCCGCCGCGCGCTCCAAACGAAGATTGTATTTTTGGTAATCGAATCGCCGAGAACGGATTCTGTAGATAATAATTTTAAAACTATATTGTTCTTATGTGGTTTGATCTGGCGACGAGCAAAATAATGTATTTGATACATAAAACGATATGTAAGTCTATTTCATTCGGAGATTCATTGTAGGATAATTTACAATTTTTTTCATAAATAAAGCACAAATCGGAATAATGTATTTTTCTTTCTACAGTGTTATTGTTTTTTTTTTCCTAAAAGTCCTTCGATCCTTATTCCTTACCTTAAAAATATCAATTTATCAAAACAAAATTTATATATTTTCTGGGTGCAATGAAATAAAAATATAGATAACAAAATGTATATCGACACTAAATAATCAAAATTGTCACGCATTCGTGCGCAGATTCGATTAAATCATAGGTTCCCAAACTTTTTTTATCTGTGGAAATGAAACGCGCTAAGCGTGTTCTCTTATATTATATTAACTCTATCAACCGCTACTTTATTAGCGCAAAATAAGCATTATTATTTTGGATTCAAGTATAAATTATTTCACCACATAATTATCAAATTAATGTTTATGCATTTTGGTAATTATTTACTAATGGCGCGTCATACGAGCGCTCACGGATTTGTGAAACCAAATAAAAATTTTATGGACCCCCATTTACAACTTGTAGAGCCCCCTGATATCCCGTGACACTTCATTGCAGCTATCGCAGTGTCGGGGACCAATGGGATGTAAGTATTAAAATAAAAGAAAATTGTTCTTTTTTAAAAAGTTATATTTATTCGAGTACATAACTACACCTTACGATAAATGGATAATAGCTATTATTCCGTATGATAAATATGTTTTAAGTGGATTTTTGACCCCTGCATCGCCACGTCTCACTTTATTCGAAAAGCGCTATCACATAGTTCATAGGTTACACGTTCACATACAAAAATATTTGACATTAGCAACGAGAGCGGCGCGACCTCGCCGTCGACGGAGCGGACTGCAGCTCGCAACAGCGTTGCATTCCAATGGCACTTGACTGTACTTCCTTGTTCCCACTCCTAGCTATCTCACAATATATTCCCCATGTACGTTCATACAAAAAAAAACATGTTTTTAACATTTCCAAAACCTAGACACTAATTACCGACTAAATTGAAAAGCATACAAATACAAGTTGTATATAAATAAGATCATAACATCGTTACATTTTTGTACACGTATTCGTCGCACGCGGACACTTTCGAAATGATTAATGACGGAAAATGTCCGCGTGCAAGAAATTTTAAAAACATAAAACAATTCACATTTACAAATTATCAAAATGTGCAATGAAGTGACACATCGAGGTTCAGCAACGTATCACGTAACAGTCGAGTTAGAGTATTTCCCGTTGGGCTGATCGATCAAGCAGTCCAATGGGATTTTATTCCCACTGAGCTGACCGACCCAACGGGAAACATTCACTAGTTGCTAAACCTCGACATAGACACAGCTGACACGAGTACAGTCGGCTCCCTAAAACGACGTCGCCTGAAATTGTTCCCTAACTCTCATTCTTTGTGAATTAAATTGAGCAGAATGTATTAAGGCTACATTTACACTAAGTCAACTTTGTTGGCGGACTATATGGTTTGTTAGAGTAGGCCTCCGATTACAAAACTATTTTATACAATTCCATTAACGATAATGTTACAGAAGTCAGTCCCTTACCATCGTTTACCTGTTCTTATGATACATAAGCCCTCACACTTCAACTAACATTGCAGTACACTATCTCTACATTTTAATCTCAAAGCCGACACGACACGGCACGCCGCGCACTCCCGCAACACGACACGACACAACGCCGTAAAATACTCAATACAAAAATACTGTACAAATTACAATAATTATTATTTGTATGTTGAACTCCTACCGATATATCGTAAGCGGTTCATGCTCTGATAGAATCTAACCTGCCTCTCTCAATATTACACCATTCACAAATTATATACAATGTCTTTTTGTTTCAATATACATGTAACATTGACACACAAAATTTGATCCCAAAACTGTAGTCTTTAACCTCGTTTTATTTTCTAAATTAAATAATGAGATCGAACCTAGTCATATGGATTGTTTGACGAGTTCGTAACGGGCCGCGGAAGATGAGGATTTACATTCAGCCTGCATTGAAGGTAGACATAAGATAAATATATACCTACAAGTTAATACTTTCTCATTCATAAATATGTTCATATAATATCTTCATTTGTATCAAGGCACTGTTCGCTAACAATCAACTGTTTTGTTTATTTAGATTCATCATCTTGTTAACTTATCCTAAAATAATAGCCAATATTAAAATATTCAACTTGCGGTACAAATAAGTCGTACGAAAATACACTTGACTCTGCGTACATACATCTATACTAAAATAGTTATATTTCAGTATATAATATACATTTTGTAAATAGGCTTCAAGGCTACCAGATCCGCCGGAAAAATTACGTTTCATATAAAAATATCGATCTTTACTTTTAGTTGCCGGTACGCAAACGATATTTGTTACAGCTAGTAATAATTAAAATTAGCCGCGGTGGTGGCACCGGAGGTCGGGTTAGGTGGGATTCGATTTTTGGACATTTTGGACGCCAATCGTTTTAGTGCGACAATGGAATGTTAACAGAACTACGTGTGACTGAGGACGCGAGGGCTCGAGAGCGCGGCACCACCCTCCCCCTGCCCCTCCCCGCCCCTACACAACACTCCGCACCCGCGACCAGCCACCGACGTCACACACTTCAATCACAATCATTTAAGGTTAGAGTTCCTCGTGGATTGTCGCGTTGGTGCACATGGTCGTACGGGACTGCGTTGTTCACAGCACACACACCATCGAAACTAAAGTCTGGTGGCTTCGTGAGCCTTCGACACGTCGCTTCAATGCTTCGACAAATTCAACGGCAAATCTGAAACAGAGAAAAGTTTTTTTTTTTAAACTAATCACATGTAATCTTCTTTTCATCATAAAATAATACATCCAAAATTTTTTAAGTTCTTGTTTAAATAATATAGTAACTGTACTAACCGGAGGTGTGTTCGTCCTTGGGTATGTGGTCGGTGAGCAGGGGGTGGGGGTGCGGCAGCGGGGCCCAGGGGCCGGGCGCGTGCGGCGCGTGCGGCGGGTACTGCAGCCACAGCGGCGGCGCGCGGTACAGCGGCACGTAGCCGTACGGGTACGCGTACACGTCGCCACCGCGGTACGCGGGCCAGGCGCGCGCGTACCCGCCCGCCGCCGCCGCCGCTGCGGAGGCTCGCGGGTGCCGCAACTCGGGCGGCGTGGGCGGACCCGGCGAGCTCAGTCCCAGCGCGCCGTACCGGTACCGGTAGCCGTCCGGGCTGCCGCTCGCGTCCGACTGCGCCGCGCCCGGCGACTCCGACAGCAGCGGGGCGTACGACTGCGGCGACCGACGAGACGGACTGTCGTCCGGCCGATTCAGTAACGAATGAATACTGTAGCTGCACACGTTCTTGGAGGGCGTTTCTTTGCGAGGGGCGGTGCCGTTGGGCCGCGCCGGCTCCGGCTTGACGGCGTGGCTGGGCCCCGGCGAGGGCGGGTACGAGGCCGTGCTGAGCGCCGGCACCGTCTTCGCCCGTCGCTTCGTCGCCTGGTCCTCGAGGCTGACGCGCTCCATCTCGCGCAGGATGCGCTTCCGCGGCGACACCATCATGTGCTCCTGCCGGCAGTTCGCCAGCTTCGCGTTCACGATCACCGGCAGCGAGGAAGACTTCTCGCGGAGCTTATCGATGGTCACAGTCAGCAACTTGCGTCGTATCGGAGGTCGCGTCTTTTTGTACACCCTTAACTTATGATACTGATATGGTTTCTTGAGTTTCATGTGAAAATATTTCTCACGATCGTAGTCCGTCCTCCTGTCGTCGTCCGCGTTCGTTTTCGTTTTGGAATCGGAGGGTGCGTCGACGACGTCCTCGCCGCCGCAGGGCTTCGCCTCGTGTGCGGCGAGTTCGCCGTTGCGTTTCTTGTCGCAGACGCCGTTGATGGGTCCCCGGCGCGCGTTGCCGTTGAGGAGGGCGGCGGCGTCGAGGTGGCCGGTGTCGTAGGGGCGGCGGCGCTTGAGACGCGCGGGTGCTTCGATGGCGGCGTTGTGCAGGGTGGCAGGCCTGCAGTAGTACATAGCTAGCTCTTTGGATATGTTGCGTCGCGGCGCGGCCTGCTTCCAGCAGTGGTCGCGCTGCCAGGGCGAGGACTGCACGGAGCTGTTGTCGTCGGAGACGGAGAGCGATGCGCAGGGCGGGGGCGCGGGCGGCGTGGCGGGCGCGGCGGCGGGCGGCCAGAAAGTTTTCCGGGGCACCGACACCCAGCCCGCGCGCTCTCCCTCGCGGGCGCTCCCGCGCACCAGCTCCAAGATGAACTTGCCATCTGAAAATCGTGACAATATTATCATTATTAACATCATTTTAACCCTTAAATATTTTAACTAAGGCCCAGAAATAAACACAATATAAATTTAATAAAAGCATGTTTGTTTCAATGGGATCAGTTAATATTGCAATTAGAAACACATATCAATGTTTCCCTTAAACTACAGTAAACAATGATATAAGCAGTCGGCCATATTTGTTCTTGTCAAATGCGGTAATCACCTGTCCGCTTTGTTATTCTAAGCAAGTGCAATGTTGACTCAAGTCCATGATAACACTTCTTCCCTTATTCAATACTATCATATTGTTTGTTTTTCAACATGTTTTGTTCCATTCAAGTATGAGTGTGGACGCTACAAGTATTCAATTAGGAACATTAGGAATAAATTTATGAGTTACACAAAATTATCAATTTGTTTTCCTTCCTATAATTAGATTTGGATACTTCACCTGCTTTGAGGTCAAACAAATAAGCACCCGCTTCACCATCTTCTAATAAAAATAACAATAACAAATTTTGGAGTCTGGAAGAATATTCTAACTATATAAATTTTAACTACAAAAACATAGTTAAATGTAATTTAAACATTCAAATCACATATAGTACAGGGCCAGCAAGTTGTTTTTCTGTAGTAGGAAAACCTTATTAAATCTGCTTAACATATATTAATATGCATAAACATTGGCATATTCATCAACTAAAACTGTGCTAATGCTAAATACAAGATTGATTGAATCTTGGCTGATTTAAAATCTTCATAAAATTTTATAGTTACATTTTACATACTAAACACATATATTACAGATAATAAAATTAAACTAAGTTTTATTTTAAGTAAATATACTTATTATGTAAAGTTTAAACCAAACACCATCATTTTCATTTTGATAATCCTTTACAAAATATTTATAATATATGGAAATGAATACAAGCTTGAATAATTAATTATATGAATTCATAAATAACAAATTTAGTGTTTTTGTACTTTACTATAAAAAACGTAGTTAAATAAATGATTTTAAACACATTAAATTCATTAACCAAATTAGTAGAAAAATCCATTGAATTGAGTTATCAAATATTTAAGAAGTCTCCTTTTTGCCCCTTTCCACCCTTTTCTTAAGAGGAAAGGATGGGAAGGAAAAGTGGATTTGACAGTTGAGGAAATGCATAGGAAGGGGAAATGTCCTCTTTATTTGCGTCTCCTCCTCTGTTGATTAATGGTAGGCAATGCATTTGTAATTGCGGATGTTTATGGGCAGCAGTCGCTCTCTATTTCAGTGGATTCAAGTGGCCACTTGCTCATTTGCCACCTTATATTATAAAAAAAAATTTTGAATATTAAAAAAAAATCAGTTTAGGTAAGAAATCAAAATGATAGATAAGGATCACACATCCTTAATTTATTTGCTACTTAAGTAGTTGAATCATAACAGAAAAATAAAATTTATTCAATATCATTTGAAGTCAATGTTGCAATAAAATTTTATGATGGCATAAATTGAAAAAAGATTTAAATCTCATATTAAAAGGTTATGAAAACATATATTGTTTGTCGTAAGTTTGAACTAAATCAAATCATGTAGTAATAAAAATAAGTATTCATGTTAGAGGTTTTACATCAATCTATCAAATTCTTATTCTTACATAATGTAAAATATCTACAATTTCTTACAATAATACAAATAGATGTTACTTGTATTCATAAACAGTATTTTTGGTAAGCAAAAAGTATTCAAATATTTACATATAAAATTAAGAAAACAAAAAAAGCTGTTTATTTATTCAAAACAATTTATGCCTAATTCCTATTAAGTTGATGTGTAAAAATGGTCTTATTACCATCACAATAAGAGTGTGAGTAAAGCTGTGGAATAAAGATAATTGGTTTCCACTAGAGTGCATCTATTTTCTTACAAAACTAACAATAGCAGAGAAGCTGCATTCACACAATTGGCAACAGCTCACTCAGATCTGACTGTGTATGATTATCAGAGCATGAATGACTTTCTAGTTTTTATCAACTCATAATGGTAACAAACATCTGTAACTGACAATTAGCACAACTCCAGTAAGAGAGTGATAGAGACTTACCTTTGAAGAATTTAAGCCTTCCACCAGTCGCAGCGAGAGTAGAATTGTGACCAGAAACATCCTCGCTCACTTTGCTACTGCTGTTACCATTCACACCATGTCTTCTGTCTACTTCTTCTGTCATTTTGGTACATGTTGTCAGAGTTGTATCCGTTCCTCCCTGTATATGCATTTCATTTCTGAGCGCTCCACTACGCTACACAGGACCAACACTTTAGTTGATACAGAATCGCCATGTCGCTCTCTGCGCTGCGATCGGCTCCTCGCTTACTAGACGTGGAATCAGATCGACACTTAGTATTTCCGTCAAAGTCCTCATCCTAATAGGGCCACCTGCGGGAAGCTCGTCTGATAGGTATCGGACGAAGATTCGTATAAACACATTACCGACACGGTGATTGCCAATTTGAACTATTATTACGAACAATCCTATAACTAACAACACTTTTACAGGTTTGTCACTATCTTAACAATTACAAAACAAAACCGCAACGCCGGATTCCCGATTATAATCGGACCCACGACACAACTCGATAAAAAGCTGTTCGTTTTTCAGTACATAGTTCATTCACACCCAGCATCCATTTTGATTCGTTCAAAATCCAAATACAATCGTTCATTTTGGCCACAAATAAACTTGAAATCTGAATGCGTTGTTAAGAACGTTCAGGTTATGCTAAAATTACGTTCATCATTTATGTTCTTAACTTATTTTTGGTTTAAATAAAGAGATTTTCGTACTAGTTAATGTTTTAAAAAAAGCAGAAACCTTAGGTTACATACAGTTTTGTCGGGATAAATAGTTTTGTCCTTTTTGACAAGGAAATACTGTTGTAAATTGCATGCTAAACCAAATTCCTATCAAATACAAATGTGCAGGTCTGTATTAAAAGCGTTGCAATTAAAAACTATTTATGCTTCATGTGAATAACAGGAATTTGGAACCTAAGTTTGCATTATCGTATCCAGTTTTAGTAAAAGAAGGATTTATAGTTAAATTATATAATCTGTGTTGGACTCTAAATCCAGACAAAGACAACCGTAACAGATTATAAAAAGCGCTTTGCTTTCCCTCGATGACAGAAAACGCGTATTTTTCTTTCCGTGTTTCCATTTTTGTTTGAGTAACATAGCCTCGTTATTTAGAAAGTTATTGTAATATCAAATAATTTAAAGACTAGTTATAAACATGACATCGTCAGAAGTATCATTTAATCGTAAGATAATATCGGAAGATTTGTCGAATGTAGAATTCGACACGAGTGAAGATGTGGAAGTCATTCCAACATTTGATTCAATGGGTTTGCGAGACGAGTTACTTCGAGGGATATACACTTACGGTAATACTGATAAGAATATATTGATTTATATTCTAATAGTTATATGTATCTATATACTTTATATAATTTTAGGTTTCGAGAAGCCGTCTGCTATACAGCAAAGAAGTATTCAGCCTATAGTGAAGGGTAGAGATGTTATAGCTCAAGCCCAGTCTGGTACCGGTAAAACAGCAACATTTTCAATCTCGATATTGCAGTCTCTGGATACTACACTCAGGGAGACTCAAGTGCTTGTGTTATCGCCTACACGCGAGTTAGCCACACAGATTCAAAAGGTTATTCTTGCTTTGGGTGATTTTATGAACGTACAATGTCATGCTTGTATCGGCGGCACTAACCTTGGAGAAGATATAAGAAAGTTGGATTATGGTCAACATGTAGTGTCTGGTACGCCGGGAAGAGTATTTGGTATGTAAACACTTTATTTTGTTATTTACTACCATAAAAGAATTAGTAATATCTACATATTTTTATTACACAATATTAAGTCATAATAGAAATTTAGTTTTCTTGCTGAAAGGCTGATTTGTGCCATGGGATTGCTAGCAAATAATCTAGGCTAGTTCTAGGGGAACGGGCAGAGGGCATAGGAACCTTTGTTATGGTCTTTTTGAAGTTGGTTTATATATATTATCTTACAGTTCTCGTTTTTAGGGTCCCACAATTCATACATCTTAAATGTGAACTTTCAGATATGATAAGAAGACGTGTCCTGCGCACCAGGTCAATTAAAATGCTGGTTCTTGATGAAGCAGATGAGATGTTAAACAAGGGTTTTAAAGAGCAAATCTATGATGTGTACCGCTACCTGCCACCAGCAACTCAGGTTGTGCTTATTTCTGCCACACTGCCCCATGAGATACTTGAAATGACTTCAAAGTTTATGACAGACCCAATTAGAATTTTGGTCAAACGGTTTGTATTTTTGTTAATGTATTTTATATGTTTAATGAAACTATTGTAATACCTAGAAGATAAAGCACACTTTCCTTTTAAACATTTTATGCTACATAATTTACACTTCACTAGTGTAAATATCAGATCTAAAAGTGTTTGTATCTCTTTCTAGCGATGAATTGACATTGGAAGGCATCAAGCAATTCTTTGTGGCCGTGGAAAGGGAGGAATGGAAGTTTGACACATTATGTGACTTGTATGACACATTGACTATAACTCAAGCGGTCATATTCTGCAACACCAAGAGGAAGGTGGATTGGCTTACACAGAAAATGCAAGAAGCAAACTTTACCGTCAGCTCCATGCATGGTGACATGCCACAAAAAGAGAGAGATAATATTATGAAAGAGTTTCGTTCCGGACAAAGGTATAATTATTATTTTGATATTTTTACTGTACTTAAATTACAAGCTTTATATTATGGGCATGACTTGTTACCCTTTTTTACTGGTACAATTTTTGTACTGGAAACACCTATGATATAATAAAATAACATTTACATAGCTTATCATGAACATTTGTGATAATATTTTCTTATTGTCATTAGATTTGTGCAGTTTATTGTAATGAATACATTCTCGCTACTTTCACGCAAATATTCCTGATAGACCTCCAGTTTCATTGATAATGGGTGACTTGTATTAATTTTGTTTCATATTTCCAGCCGTGTTCTAATAACAACAGATGTATGGGCCCGAGGTATTGACGTGCAACAAGTCTCGCTCGTTATCAACTACGATCTTCCCAACAACCGTGAGCTGTACATCCACAGGATTGGTCGTTCTGGCCGTTTCGGACGTAAAGGTGTTGCCATCAATTTTGTAAAATCGGATGATATTAGAATTCTCAGAGATATTGAACAGTACTATTCAACTCAGATTGATGAAATGCCAATGAATGTGGCTGATTTAATTTAAAATAACTCAATAATTCTATATTCATCCGGTAACTGATTAAATATTTTAGGTGAAAGTTATGTCTTAAATTCTGTAACTTAATTAATAAACATTCATTTATCTAAATTCTTGTTTTATTAAATTACTAGCTCTCTCCTGCGCAGAATTATATAAAAAGTCTGCGTTCTTTTAGACTGGCTTACATCTGTGACTTACTTGTAATTTCCAGATTCATTAGGCAAATTAAAAGATGCCAAGTAACAAACAGCTATCTATCTAAACTTTCGCATTTATAATATTGGTATATTATGTGCTGCTGAATTTAGTAGATTTTTGTGCAGTACTATCCATACTTTATAGTGATTACAATGCCATGAGACGCAGCTCACAAATTTATTTGGCATACTGACATAAGATAAGAATTTAGAGATACGAGATTTATTAGAGGAAGTTTGAGAGGCGCCAGTGGTTGCGAAATTAAGGAGTAAAAGGTTAGCATGTAAAAGTTAGCATTAGGTATGAATCACATGTAACAAGGATCTTAGTCATGAATGTAGAGGGGTAGACTTAGAAAGAGATGGATGTATTGCATGAAAGGTGACACAATCAAGAAGGGAGTGATGTGTAATGATGAGTTATTTGGAGGATAAAAACCCAGTGTTACGGGAGTAGGGTAAGGTAGGGGAGAAGACAACTGATGGGACAAAGAGTGTCAATAAAAAGTAGTAATAGAATGTCCAAAATTTAATTAATAACACAAAAAAATTTAAAAGCATATAGTTAAAAAAAACTATTTTGCAAATATACATTATCAATAGACATCTAACAATAGCTAAAAAATGATATAATGTACAAAATACGTAATTAAGCTCTTGGAATGTCGCTAAAAATTACATATAGGAACAGGCTATCAGTAAATGAAAGCTTTTTGGTTTGTAGTTCCATGAACACAATAAAACATCAGTCGAATGTCACAGATAAAAAAATCTCCAACTCAAGTTTTCACAATCAAAAAACTATATCATGTTTTGTCATAAAAATGTGGGTTTTTGAAGTCACAATAACTACTATTAAAAATATGCAACCACTTAAATAAAATATGTATTAAAATCTTTCATTTACTAAATAATGTTCACAATTTATATTTACTTTAGAATACATTTTTATACAAACTACTTTTTTTTTCCTAAAAAATAAATAATTTATATCTACAATAATCACAAAAATTGTTTACATGGTATACCATAGCAAAAAGAATTTTATAATACATTATAAATCTTTTGATGAACAAAATATTTTTTAACACTACTAAATAAACTATATAAATATTCAAAAGATTTATTTTATATTTATCATAACGGAGTATTTTCCATTATGATAATCTCCAAGTCCCACTCTGGGACACTGGCAAGAGTACAACTAAATTTTTAAATCATCAATTTAAAAACAATAAATTTCAGGTCAATTTGAAATATCAACATTAGAAGCTATAAAGTGATTTTAATAGAAAACATAAATACTTGTTATGACTAAGTTTAAAATGTGCAATGTATTTACTTAAAAATTACATTTTAAAAAGCTATTCAAATATTGAAATGTTTTTGTCTCAAAAACTTACTGAGGCAGACTGAAATAATTTTGATATTACTATAGTGTGTTGACTTTTGTTGACAAAAACATGTCTGTAAGTCCTATAAGTTAAATTTTTAACATTCATTATCTTAAAATACTTCAGAAATCTCAAGTGTTTTACATTTCATCACCGGCTGCAGTTTGATGTGTATTCCAACGTCGGTATATGAATATGCCAATCGCACCAACAAGCAGTGCTACAAGAATCTCCGTTAGTTGATCTAAGAATGTAGTACTGTTGTCTGATGATTCAATCACTTGCGGCTCAACTTCTGGAGCTGTCTCATCCACAGGTGGCTTTGCTTGCTCATCTTCACCTTTAAATGCTATTTGGTTTAAAACAGACTGTTCTTCCTCAGTTAAGGGTTTAGCTGCTGTTGAAGATAGCAAATTTATTATTTCCCCACATTCCGAACATGACCATGTTCGCGATTTCTTTGCCAGAATTTTCCGTTCTGCTGGACTGTAGTCCAGCGATCCGATAGTACCTTCCGCTGGTGTTGGCATAAAGGCAATCAGAGCCAGAAGAGCTGTTCTTATCGACCATGAAGGTTGCCATGTCTCTGGATGATGTCCAGATATAGACAAGCAAATCTTTTTGTTAACTTCGAACCTTCCATTAGGTGTTAATAGTATGATATGCGGTGGATGCATAGGATATTCTTTAGGTAACAGTATCCTACCATGGTAGACGCCATCCTCAAAATCTGTACCTTTCGGTCCTTGTATTGTAAAGTGCCACTCGAATAAGTTATCTTCCAATGGCCTTGCGCAGTATTCTTCTGTAGCTTCTGCTAACTCTATAGCCTCTCGCATCAGACGTTTCACACCAGGGCATTTAGTGTTGTATTTTTCGCCAATCTCTGCCATATTCTTATACTGATTTTGCCACTTTTTACTTATAATTCCAAAGATTTTCACAATATCACTCCCAGGAAAAGTAAATAAAGATTATACACTTAAGATTATCTCGATAAACGGGTGATATGTAAATTTTTCCCTTATTGAAAATGAAAAGTGATGAAAAGTTTTATTTCTGTTATGCTGGCCAAAGAGTATGATGACGAAATATTGTACCAATCGAAAATGTCCCAATCACCAAAGAGTACATACATCATCAGGAGTCGTTGTTGCCACTATCAGAATATCGTTTTGCATCATAGCTTAATAACTATGAGGTGTGTTAAATTAAAATTAATATATTACAGTTCATAACATATATTACATATTGAAAATAGTGAAACAAAAAGTGTAAATTATTTTATTTCAAATTGTACACCAAAACAAAGCTACGCAATTTACATGTCTATGGAGATGAAATGCAACGACTTGATTCGATGTCGAATATTAAAAAAAGTGTTGTCAATGTCATAAACAAGCTGCGTGAAGCGTCAAGTCGATATTTTGGATTTTTATAATTACTTCCATTTATAAGGTGTAAATGTGTTATTAATTTAATTTTAAATATCCGCAAATATTGCTCTCTTCAATGGAGCCTCCTGGTACAGGACCTAACAATGGATCATTGGCACCACCCGGCGTGCCAAATTTTCCGCCAATGCCCCCGCCGCCAGGATCAGTAGGACAAGGCAACATGCCTCCCCTACCGATGGGCCCTCCAGGAGCTATGCCACCTGTCACTTCATCCAGTGGTTCGACAAATATTCCTCCGGGGATGGGTCCTCCGCCAAGTATGATGGGTATGGGTCCGCCAGGAATGGGCCCTCCGCCGCCTGGTATGGGACCTCCAGGTATGGGTATGGGGCCTCCTATGGGTCCACCTGGAATGGGACCTCCTAGAATGCCTCCAAATATGATGCGAGGAGGTATGAACATGAAAGGCATGGGTATGGATATGGGGCCACCAGGAATGGGACCTCCTGGTATGGGGCATGGTCCCTGGGATGAGCCAATTCCACCTCCAGGTTGGGGAAGACAGAATCGGTCTGATGGGCCACCAGGTTGGGATGATGAACAGGATGAGGGTGATGAAGACGATGCTGAAGAAGAAGATGATGAATCCTTGAGTGATCAAGGACTTTCACAACCTTTACCATCATTATTGACAATGAAAATTGATACTCCAGAAGAATTTAGAACTAAGCCAAGTACTCCTAGTGGAGTAGTGTTGCCAAAAGCTTTAGAAGAAGCACTTGCTTATAAAGATCAGAGGCAAGCGGCCTTGGGTGATGAAGGGAGTACTGAGACTGGTAAGTGTTAAGCTTTAACATTAATACTTTGCATAGTGCAATTTCCTTTGCATCCTAATAAGAAAATCATGTTTTGTTTTGATTAAAACAGGAATTTTCACATAATAGTTTAACTGCAACTAAATTTTCTTGTATAACAGAAATAGATGACATACCAGAAGCCCCTCCAGCACCGGTGATCAGCACAGAATATGATGTAGAGGAAGATGAAGGGGATTCGGATGATGACAATGTTCCTGAGGCACCTTTACCACCTATCATTTCAAAGCAAGAGGTATGAAAAACATAAAAAAATGTCCTCTGAATTCAAAACCTTACAAATAGGATTTATTCAAATTTAAATTCATAATTCATTTCAGGTTTCATGGTTTTTATTTATTTTACTCTAATTGCTTGATGATTTCATGTTATAATTATATTGTAATACAGTTTTTTTCTAACATCTTTGTGGCAAAAGGTCATTAGCATTGCATATAGTACTATTTCCCAGCTGCTGAAATTACTAAGCTACTGAACTACTAAAATTGTGTTCTGTGCAGACCCGCATGGAATAAAGAGCCAGCACTATATCTGAAAACTATACTACTTACCTTTATTTTTCCAGAATCAACCTAACAAATCCAGTAAGAATAAACGCAAAAAGAAAAAGAAGAAAGCAGCCAGACAGAAGAGAAATGAAACTAAGAAGATTGAAGAAGAACAGAAGAATGAAAAGCAGGATATCAAAAGTTCAAGCGATAAGGAAAATGAAAAGGCAGTTGAAATTGAGTTAGTATTTCACAGTTATATATGTAAAAATCTTATTTTTATTAGGCAAATGCTATATTTATGGCACATGCACATAATGCCATATGCCAAATATCCACCAACTTTCAAAACATTAACACCAAGTACTGAAACTAAACAACTGCTTAGTCTTGCTTCAATACTTATGAGGTTATGTGGAGATGCGCACACTACTCGAATTTTTTTTTTAATTGTCTGCGAAACAATCTACAATTACACAACAGTTGTGCGTTAGTTAAGTTATTAACAACTTGACTCAATTGGCTGTGGCTTGATTCTCTAAAGAACTTCATATCAGCACAGTTCCATGTGCGAATGTGGTCTTGACGAAGATTCAAATCACATCTTTTTCAGTTGCCCCCGTCTATCTTCCTCCCACTATGATCTCATTCCTCCTATGGATATTCCCCGCCACATTGATCTCAAATCGCTTCTTTCTCTTGTGAACTCCCCTTTCGTGTATGTTCTTAGTTCATTCAATAACCATGATAATGTTAAGCTGTAGATTGTCTGTTGTGTTTCCAACTAACTCCTGTATTTTTTTTTTATAAAATAAGGTGGCAAACGAACAAGCGGACGCTTGAATCCGCCAAAATGGCGAAGCGACCACTGCCCATATACATCCGCAATTGCAGATGCCTTGCCTACCCTTATCCGACGGAGGAGGAGACGCACATCAAGAGGATATTTCCTCTTCCTAAGTATCCCCTCTACCGTCAAATCCACTTCCCGTTCTCATCCTCTCCTTGTATGAAAAGGGTGGTAAAGAGAAAGGGACTTAAATTAGGCCTCTGGCACCACACTCATCAGACAAAACACGGAATGGCTTCCATTTCACGCCTGTCTTCTGTGTGGTCGTGGTGTTACACCGGGCGTGCCGGCCCATTCGTGCTAAGATGTTAAAGCGGGCACTACCACTGTTAAATGTTAATATCGTGGTTGTCTTAGTTGTGTTAGAGTATTATATATACTTGATATTGGCGAAATCTCTAAGGAAACGCCATTAACATAAAAGATAGATAGATTCTCTAAAGGCTAATTTTATGTAAATCAAAGTTGTTAAACATTGAAATACGTATTATAAACCTTTATAAGCAAAAATACTTGAAGAACAGCTAACATTTTTGTTTTTGTAACTTTTTCCAGGTATGTTCAAGAAAATATTCAGTTTCACGAACTGGAGCCAATGTATCGTCAATTCCATCGTATTCTAGAAGCTTTCAAGATAACAGAGAAGAAGGAGGAGATCAAAGAAGAGTTTGACAAAGAGCCTAAATCTAGTTCGAAGCCTCAGGAGAAGGTGCAAGATCAGTTTGCAACTGATGAGGAGGCTGTGGAGGTTTGTGAATATAACATTAAAACTTTCTTTTGTACATGTGTGATAATGTTTATAAAGTCATTGGAATCATACTTATGATAATATTATAAATGCAAAAGCGTGGATGGATGGATGTTTGTTAGAGTTTGTAGCCTAAACCGCTGAATGGATATCAATAAAATATAGTACAGATGTGTCTCGAAGAATACATAGGCTACTCACCTTTGTTTTTTTTAACTCCATACGGACAGAGACGCGAGCGAATGCTAACATACTATTATTGTTAATAATGACTAATATTTTTGCTAAACAGCATATAATTGAACCTTTAAACAATAAATTATTTCATACTCTCTTTCTAAATGTTTGTTATTTTGTATATCCAGAATAGCTCAATGAATCAGTATGAAATTATCACAGATTTAGACCAGTCTAGAATAAAACAGAGGCTTACTGCGTTTTTATTAATTTCGTGCAGGCAGTCCCAGGCAAAAGCTAATCTATTATAATTGGTGCATATTGCTAGTTGCTTTCTATTGTAGAAATATTGAAAACATACGTTTTTTTAATTAACGCAAACTCTCGCTTGTTGTAATTAGTTGAATATTGTAATCGCAGAAACACGCGGCAGATGAAAAAGACCGCTTATCTAAACGCAAGCTAAAGAAGCTGTCTCGGTTATCAGTGGCTGAGCTAAAACAGCTGGTATCTCGACCGGATGTTGTTGAAATGTATGATGTAACAGCGAGAGACCCCAAGCTGTTGGTGCAGCTTAAAGCACATCGGAATACTGTACAGGTGCCGAGACATTGGTGCTATAAACGCAAGGTATGTTTACTTAGTGTTTTTAAATCATACTAATATTATAATGCAAAAGTTACGATGGATGGATGGATGTTTGTTAGCGTTTGTAGCCTAAATGACTGAACGGATATTGACCATGTAATTTGGCACAGGTTTAGAGACTATGAGACCTAATATTAGGCCCTTTCCCATTCCACCCTTTTCTTAAGAGGAAAGGACGGGAAGGAAAAACGGATTTGACAGTACAGGAGACGCATAGGAAGTGGAAATATCCTATTTATGTGCGTCTCCTCCGTCAATTAAGGGTAAGCAACGCATCTGCAATTGTGGATGTTTATTGGCAGAGGTCACTTTCCATTTCGGTGTATTCAGGTGACCGCATGCTCGTTTGCCACCTTATATTATAAAAAATATATATAAAACATTATAAAAAAAGGTTTTGAGATTTATTTCTCTTAAGATCTATCTACTTGTGAAGCTGCGAAAACTTTTTTTACTAACGTTTTATTTCCAGTATCTTCAAGGGAAAAGAGGTATTGAAAAACCTCCTTTTGATTTACCAGATTTCATTAAAAAGACTGGTATTATGGAAATGCGAGCCTCTTTACAAGATAAGGAGGAAACTAAAACGTTAAAGGCAAAAATGCGTGAACGAACTCGACCTAAGCTCGGCAAGATCGATATTGACTATCAGAAATTACATGACGCTTTCTTCAAGTAAGTTTTTTTTTTTTTTATAGAAATTCAGAATTGTATTTTTGTTTGTATTGAAATAACTTAAAAACTACTAGGCCGATTTTTTAAATTCTTTCACCGTTATTTAGCTATATTATCGCATAGGATATATTTTTAAATTTCAACTGGACGAAGCTGCGAGCAACAGTCATATTTCCAATAAATAAATTATTTTAAAAAAAAATTTCATGTTTTATAAGAATTTTTACTCAATGTGATCAAGAACAGACTAAAATATCTTTTACTATTGATCTTATTGGTTACCAGTTGAACACTGGTACAACATTTGTTTTTTAGTTGAGATTATTTGGACCTAATTTAGGTCTAAAATGGTACCTGAATTGCTTATTGGTAAGTGATAATATTTTTTTAAAGTCCTATCAAATATCAAAATATTGAAAATATGTTAATATTATAAACTCTCTCTGTTCCAATTTAAAATTCGTGTACTATTTCTCCCTATAAAAGTGAAGTCACTAAGCGAATTGTTTTAATTAAAAAAAAAAATAATTAAAACACATAATTTTTACATACTGTTAAAAAAAAAATTATTATAGATGGCAGACGAAGCCTAGAATGACGATCCATGGAGATCTTTACTACGAGGGTAAGGAGTTTGAAACGAGACTGCGCGAGAAGAAGCCCGGAGACTTATCAGAGGAGCTGCGCACCGCGCTCGGCATGCCAGTCGGACCTGGCTCACAGAAAGTAAGTAAACTCAATTTATATAACGCATAACAACGCATTTAACTTTAACATATAGTACGGATTTCAACCAGAATGGCGCGTAATTCCAATACGTCTCATGACATTGACAGCTGTCAAATAGGGACGGGGTATAGCCAGTAATCTAATGTTGCGCTGACCCCGTAGCGAAGTACTAATTTATTTCTTAACAGTAAGTACAAAGACTGTTATGTCGCCAGAGGTCTAGAAAGGCGAAAATTGTAAATTCTTCCTAATCTTATAAATGCGAAATTTTAAATGATGTTTGTTTGTAGCCTAAACTGTTGAACTGAATTAAATATAGCCAATAAACAGTATTTTTAAAATAATACTTTATGATGTTGAAGTCTAATCTTTTTCCTAGTGATTTTCGACTTTTGTTATTGTCGCACGGTTGTTTGAAATTATAATGACGTAAATTGTAAAAATCTTTTTATTTGTTTAGTAATTTAATTTATACTCTTTTAAAATGCAGGTGCCTCCGCCGTGGCTGATCGCTCAGCAACGTTACGGCCCTCCCCCATCGTATCCCAACCTGAAGATCCCAGGGCTGAACGCGCCCATACCTGAGGGTTGCGCGTTCGGCTACCATGCGGGCGGGTGGGGCAAGCCGCCTGTCGACGAAGCGGGAAAACCCTTATACGGGGATGTGTTCGGACATCAAAGCAGCGGACAGGATGTGAGATTTATACAAAAAACATAGATTTACGGTTTACATTAATAGAGAAACTGGTCAAATTTAGTAGTTTTTAACATTTGTTATATACCACTGCAGCGTAAATATACGTATATAGTCGATTTGTGCCAGGTAATATATATGTTTTAGGTTTTCTGCGATGTTTCTATAAAAACCAAACTTTCGCGCGATTCACGAAAAAATTCGGTAAAAAAGTAATCTCGCAAATCAAGTTAATATGTAAAATATATAACATTATATAAACCCATATTTAGTACTAAATGGTTTCTTCAGGATAGATAAACATTTTATTGAAATTCCTATTTGATATATGTTTATTTTCCACCCAAGAATACGCTCTCTCGTTTGTTAGATATTTTACTTAATAATTTTCATGTTGACATTTTGTTATCAGGACAATGAGGACCACGACATAGACCGCACAATGTGGGGTGAACTGGAATCTGAATCCGAGGAGGAATCTGAAGATGGTATGTATAAAATAACATTAATACTACATCTATACTATTATAATAAAGCGTAAACACACACTTCTTTGTTGCCTAAGATATCAGCAATTACAGCATATTTTCGAATAACTCTTTTTTTAATAAAAAGCCCTACACTTACGTCACGCTCTAAGCTATATATTTTCACGCCATTAAACTTAGGGGGTAAATATTTTGGATACAATCCTAATGTGGAAAAGAGACCATAAGTTGCTGCCAACATCAAGGAAGCAAGATTGTCAAGGTTTGTCATGTCATGTAATTTTGACATTTGACATGAAAACAATACTAATAATAACAAATTTTTATAATTTTATACGGCCGTAGTCGCATGGGAGCTGCTAGTTATTTTATAGTTGGCACGTTGGGCAGAACAAAATTCTATATTCCCACGTGCCATTTGCTATGTAAAAATGCTACGTTTCTGGCTGATTTAAAATTCACTTCAGTAGAAAGTGATTTATTTTTAACCGATTTAAAAAAGTAGGAGGGAATAAGGAGGGTCGTATTTTTTGTGCATGGTCGATTACTCTCAACCATATGATCCGATTTTCCATATTTCCAAAAATTATATTAAAAAAAATTAAAACCCAATAAATATATAAGCCTTTATTGCTATTCTTAAAGTAAAATAATTTTTCAAAATAAAGTTATTATTTATTATGTAATAATTGTTGCAGAAGAGTCAGGTTCAGAGGAGGAGGGCGGGGCTGCTCCAAGCACGGGCACGGCGACTCCCGGCGAGGGCCTGGCCACGCCGCTCGGCATCAGCTCCGTGCCGCCGGGAGTCGAGACACCAGACACCATCGAGCTGCGCAAGAAGAAACTCGACAGCGATATCGAGGGGTAAATCATCAGCTATACGTCCCCTCTGTGTCTACCCTAATAAGGGGTGACGTCATAGTCAACCATGCTGAACTGCAGGTTGACTTCACACGTATCTTTTTTTTTTAGCAGATATGTGCATCACGGTATTTTCCTTATTGGTGCACCCGTTCCAGAGATAACGGTCCGGTCGCCATTTTGACAGCACGGAATTAAAAAAAAGTAGCTTACAATATATCCGTCTCTGTCAGTCGTAATCGGCCCAGCCGTTTCAGGGGTTATCCGGAGAAAACGCGGCTTGCGGATAGACAGACAAACAATATTTTATTAAATGCGATTTTCGTTATCAGCAACGCAAGTACATCATCTTCCCGAAATCTGGGATTTTTCTTTTGACATTACAAACAGACTCTCCAATTTTATTATGTGAACAGATATAGATATTAAACTTAAGTGAAAAGCGCCTAATGTCATTAATTAGAAGGCCTAATTTAAGTCCCATTCTCTTTATCACCCTTTTCTTATGAGATGATGGGAAGGGGAAGTGGATTTGACGATGGAGAAGATGCATAGGAAGAGGAAATATCCTCTTTATGTGCGTCTCCTCCTCCGTCGGATAAGGGTAGGCGACGCATCTGCAATTGCAGATGTCTATGGGCAGCGGTCCCTTCGCCACTGTGGCGGATTCAGGTGGCCGCTTGCTCGTTTGCCATCTTATGTTATAAAAAAAAAATAGGATAGAAGCTAAACAATCTTACTTCTTACTAATATTATGTATATAGATGGATGGATGGATAGATGGATGGATGGATGGATGTTTGTTATCGTTTGTAGCCTAAACGGCTGAACGGATCTCCATGAATTTGGCACAGGTTTAGAGCATAATCTGGAAGAACACATAGGCTACTTTTTATCCCTGGAATAGTTACGGTTCCCCTGGGATTCATTAATTTAGTTTTTTAATGTTTACTCAATCATTCTGCAACGGTTCAACATACCTTAATGAAATTTGGCACAGATATAAAACAAAATCTGGAGTACACATGGGATAAGCTTTATCCCCGAGAATTGTCCGCTTCCCGAGGGATACGTAGCTTTTTGTAATTTATATAGTTTGTATGTTTTCTAATACCACGCAGACGAAGTCGCGAGCAACAGCTCGTTGATTACTATTTAAATATTTTTAATAAAAATGTTAATTATTTAATGACAAGAAAAAATAAAATTCTTGAATTAGTGTAATATATTTTCGTCTTGATATAAATGTGTTTCGTTGTGTGGTGCAGCGGGGACACGCCGGCGCTGTACCAGGTGCTGCCGGAGCGGCGCGTGGGGCTGACGGCCGGCATGATGGCCTCCACACACGTCTACGACATCAACGCCGCTAGCACAGGTACCTACTGCACTTACGATATCATACTAATATTATAAATAAGTTTAGATGGATGGATGGATGTTTGTTAGAGTTTGTAGCCTAAATGGCTGAAAGAATATCGATGAAATTTCGCATACACGTAGGGTATAGTCTGGAAGGACACATAGGCTACTTAATTTTGTTCTTTTTAATTCCACGCGGACGGAGTTGCGGGCGAAAGCTAGTTAATATTATAAAGAGAAAAGATTTGTATTTGTGTATGTATTTGATTCACGTAATAACTGGCTGATTTTCAAAATTCGTTTTTATTATTGTTAATTTCACATGGACGAATTCGCTAGCAACAGCTAGTTTATTACAAAACATCATTATTATTACGACTTACTTAGCTTTATCATATGTAAAAAAAATCTAAATTAGTATTTTTAATTAAAATTATCCTAAATGTATATTCTGATTCTAGAAATATATAGATTTGTGTGATTTTTACAAAAAGTTGATATGATTCACGACTTTTTTTCTCATTTTAGGCAAGCGCGGCGCGAGTGGCGGGGGTGGGGGCGCGGGTGCAGCGGGCGGGGGCGGCGGGGGCTCGGCTGAGGGCGTGGTGGAGGTGGCGCTGGACCCCTCCGAGCTGGAGCTGGAGCCCGAGGCGGTGGCGGCGCGCTACGAGCGACATCTGCGCGAGCAGCGACCCCGGCACAAGGAGGACCTCTCAGATATGCTCGCAGACCACGTCGCCAGGCAGAAGGTAACCACTTTATTTTATACACTAATGAAATATTTCTACAAAAACTATATTTCATACTACTTCGCGTGATTTCAGCTGCGTAAAATTAAAAAAAAAATGGCTTATGTTACTGTTAACGTACGTTTTTATTATAATAATTAAATAATTATTAAAATCTGCCCAGTAGTTTTTTAAGTTATTTTAATACATAAAAAAATACAAATTTATCCTCTTTATAATATTAGTATACTAAATATTCTATCTACTATATGTTACTTTATGTTTTCTTTACAGAACAAAAGGAAACGCCAACAGAATACGGACTCAAAGCAGGCGAAAAAATACAAGGAATTCAAATTTTAAATATTCTTATATATTTAGTTACAAGATTTATTGTAAGGGTAATTCATTTACTATTAGGAGTTATTAAATTTAACATACAATGAAAACGAAGTTTTTTATTTCTTTCCACCTTTATTTCATTAAACCAACATATAAAACTCTTAAATGCTTCTTTTTTAATGAACTTTACAGCCGAGTTTATTAAATCTATGTGCGCGGCAATGCATCCTCTGAGGCAAACACAGTTAAACACTATTTCACTCGAAGCGCTTCAAAGCACGTTTGACACCCCTGTAACTCCGTTGTTAATAAAGATAGAAGGTTGAAATTAACATAGATATCATACATCTTGTTAGAATATATAAATATTTTACAATTATAGTTTGTAGTTCGAAATATTGTTGATCGAATTTTCCACATTTATCAGAAATTCACGAGTAACAACAGCTTTTACTACCTAAAATAAGATCCATTTTGATTTGACCACTAGAATAAAGCATTTTACGGTAGGGAACAAAGAGAAAAAAAACCTACAATAAGAAGTGAGATCTCACAAAAAAATATGAAACATAAAAAACTGTCGAGTCTCGCTTCCCCTACAAAAATGTAGAATTTTTTGTGGTATCATTTTTACCCATGTCCTAGGGAATTATATCCAATACTTGCAACTCTCGTTTAAAAATGTCAAAACTGACAATTCGCCGCTGAAAACTTTGCGTGCGTCGATTTGTTGAACTTTTTTATTTTATTTGTTTCTTTATAATTTTCGTTATTGTTTATTTTCATTTATTTGTTTACTCTTTAAATCAATTATAAACTAAACACAATGGCTCGTGTTCTAGTCGGAGTAAAAAGAGTTATCGATTACGCGGTCAAAGTAAGTCAAAAGTACAAAGGTTAATCAAATTTCAAGATCATTAACTTTTTCACCAACTAGTTAATAAAGATATAGACTTTTAATTAAATTAAAAATCAAAAATAACAAGAATTATAAATATAATGTTATATTTGGATAGGTCACAATTATTGCTTTATTTTAAGAGTAATAATATATCGATATTAGAAATATTTTGAGTAGTCCATAATGTAATAAACAATTTTCACTTAGATACGAGTTAAGCCAGATAAATCTGGCGTGGTGACAGAAGGAGTTAAGCACTCCATGAATCCATTTGATGAGATAGCCGTAGAAGAGGCGGTGAGAATGAAAGAGAAGAAACTTGCTAGTGAAGTTATTGCAGTTTCTTGTGGACCAACTCAATCACAGGTACAGGTTTTTTGTAATAGTTCAAATAGGTCATCTGATGTTAAGAGACTTTTAGCCATAAATATTTGCATATACAGACAAATTAAGAAATGTTAATTATACATGATTGTTCAAGTTTTATATAAAATAAGACCTGTTTATAGGCTAATCGGAGTTTTAGAAACATTTTCTTGGTAAAATATTCATTAAAATGTTTAATGTTCTCAGGAAACTTTGAGGACCGCTCTGGCGATGGGTGCTGACCGAGCCATCCATGTGGAGGTAGCAGGAGCTGAATATGAAACCATGCAACCTTTACATGTGGCCAAGATCTTAGCTAAACTGTCACAGGATGAGAAAGCTGATATTGTGATTGTTGGGAAACAGGTAAAAGATACATAATGTTTCTTAATAATTATGTAATTATCATTAAATAAATAATTCTATGCTTAGTATGTCTTAGAGACCATTGAAGAACTGTGTTACAGTTTCTATGGTACTCATTTTAAAGAAAATTTTCTCATTTTCAGGCCATTGATGATGATTCTAATCAAACTGCACAAATGACTGCTGCAATTTTGGACTGGCCTCAAGGAACTTTTGCCTCCAAGGTTGGTCTAATTACAGATTTATTTTGTCCCACTGATAACCTCACTTCACAGAGTTATTTTATCAATGAGATTTTAAATATGTTTACATAATGATAGTGATGAAATGTAATTTGTGTGCTTTTTACATCAGAAGTGTTTATTTAAGGAACATTTTCTAGTTGTATTTAAGGTACAAAACCAACTTGTAACAAGTTTGTGTCATACATTCAGGTTTATGAAAATTTTGCAACTTTTTTCTTTATGACTACTTAATTTTTCTTTGGATCTATTCAATTATAATAAAGCGAAAACACACACTTCTTTGTTGCCTAAGATGTCAGCATATTTTGAATAATTCTTCTTTTAATAAAAAGCCCTACACTTAAGTCACGCTTTAGGCTATATATTTTCACGCCATTAACTTAGGGGGTAAATATTTAGGATAAAACCCCTAATGGGGGAAAGAGACCATAAGTTGCTGCCAACATCAAGAAAGCAAGGTTGCCATGGTTTGTCAGCGTCATGTCATTTTGACATTTGCAATTGATAATTTGACACATGTAAACAATAAAATAACTTTCATAATTTTATGTGATTGAAGTCGCAGGGGAACAGCTAGTGTATGAATAATTATGTAATAGTGTTCCTATTTAATTGATTTATACTGCTATATTTTCCAGGTGGAAAAAACTGATGCTGGTTTTACTGTAACACGCGAAATTGACGGTGGCTTAGAGACAATCAAGACTAAAGTCCCCGTAGTGATCAGTGCTGACTTGAGACTGAATGAACCGCGTTACGCCACACTGCCTAATATTATGGTAAGTCTGCTTATAAATTAAATGTTTACTCTGTTAAAAATTCGACTTCGACATTGGTACAATCAGAAACATTTCTCTACTCACAATGAAATTAGAAAACTTGTTATAACTATATTTAGTATAGTATTGTTGTACATTGTCTCAATGTCTTAAAAAGTTCAAATAAACGGACATAAGATGGTACACCGCCAGATTCCCTGATTGTACATGCTTAACTATCATAGAGTTGTATTTAGTCAAGTTTAGAGCAAATTTAATTACATTTGTTGACTTTATTTTTTTCAGAAAGCAAAAAAGAAGCCATTAAAGAAGTTAACAGCTAAAGATCTAGGAGTTGATCTAGCGTCTAGGATTAAAGTGATAAGTGTTGAAGATCCTCCTGTAAGACAAGCCGGCTCCGTTGTCCCTGATGTCGATACTCTCGTAGCTAAACTGAAGGAGGGAGGACATGTATAAACAAATTGTCAAACAAACATTACATTTATTTTTGTGATTTCTTTCACAATTTTTTATATCTATTGAAGATTAGAACATCCATTGTTATTGAAGTAAATGTTATTTTAACAAAACTATAAATATTGTAGGAATATGAAATTGTGATAAAATAGTGGAAAAATTATTCTATGAAGTTTTCTTGATAAAAAACATACCTTATTGAAAGAAATTACTGAATTTACATTGACAAAGTGACTCAAAATTGAATATTTACAAATTATTGCATAAACCAACAAGGATATCCGAGTTGGTGGGAAATCAAAGTAAATTATAACAGCTAACTAGCTCCCTTGTCAATGTTGAAGTTTCTTTAAATCTTTAGAGCGCGCGCACAGACCAAACTATCGCACAACTGTTTTGTCGCGCTTTGATTCCTGAGCTTATATGGAGGTGCGCACATTACTCGATTTTTAGTTGTGCAACTAAACAATCGCACACAGTTGTCCGATTGATTAGTTAAATTATGGCTGTTTTTTCATTGGTCAAAAATATAAATCAATCAAGATCATTGCTAGTTCAAATTGCCAACTACCTTGATCCTTGATTCTGTCGTTTAATTTCAATTTAAAACATAAATAATTTTTCAAGTTTATTTAACAAGGTGTAAAATTACAGCTTATGAGTCTGTAAGAGGCCATCAAAGTAACGCAAGTATCATTGCAGTAAAAAACCACAAATAGAACGATATTTACAGTGCTATAGTACATTATGGACAGAAAGTAAAAAGTTACTTTTAACTAATGAATTAAAAAAATATAAAAAAAACCCTAAAAACTACAACAGTCTCAACAATTGATGTAATAAAAGACTACAAGTCTATCCATAAATTTATTAAGTAATGGCTTTGCCTGTGACTTTGCGGGAATTTTAAAAAAGTAGAATATGTTCTAGACTATTCTACAGCCAGATTGTGCGTTATCCAGATCTGTTGAGTCTGGAGATGCTTACATTCATTGAACTCTCACATTTACTACAAATTGTTGCCCGCAACGAAATTAAAAAAAAAACTAACCCAAGTTCTTCCAGATTCTTTATTCTACATTTATTGCAAATTTCAGCGAGATCTATTAAGCTGTTCTGGATATACATAACAAACATCCATCCAATTTAGGGTTGTAACGGAACTCCGCTTCCGCATCCGTAAGTGCGGAACTTCCGCAATGGAATGATAACTCCGCTTCCGTTATTATGCGGAGTTATAACGGAGGTTAACTTATGTCTCCGCGAGTGGCGCGATTAGATATCTTTTATGCGACCCGGCGGCGTGCTAGGTCAACTAACTATAATTGCTATACATTATATCTGCATAATAAACTGTATCTTGTAATTATGTAACAATCTGTATTTTGGTTTAACGTAGTTTTAGTTTTTATTTCTTTAATAAATCGCAATTAATATTTTATTATTAATCTCCGCTTCGTGATTCTCTTCGCCTCCGCATCCGCATCCGCTTCCGTTAAAATGGCCTCTGTTACAACCCTAATCCAATTTATATTAAGCAGGATGATCAAAACAATTCCTCTCCGCTGTAAGGCTCGTACCACACTATTTTCCCTTCAAGACATCCGGTGACGAGGACATGATGGCGGGGGCTGAACTTGGTGCTGACGACCAGGTCCTGGTGGATGCCGAGGCTCTGGCCGACCTCCACCAGTGGTGTGGGACCGCGGAAGTCCTGCACGCAGTGAGGCAGCTCGCTGCACTCCTTGTCCAGCGCCAAGAGATGCATCCCCCGACCGAATGGGGAGCAGACTAACCTACCATCTGATGAGAAGCACAGCTCCTGATGGAAAATTGACAATTCAGTTATTTACACAATAGCGTTACGGGATATTAGATTGAAATTGGGTTTCTGATGTTTAAATGACATAAAAACAATAATTAAAGAATATATTAAAACTGTTTTTTGCCACCGACTTCTTTCGTGTGGAATTATATTTAACTACGTCTTAAAGATAAGGCCACATTTAAACATCAAATTATAATCGGCGTGAGAGAAATATTGAAGACTAGCTGTTGTTCGCGACTCTGTCCGCGTGGAATTAACGACAAAAGTAACTATTAGTAACTACTAGGCTATGTGTTCCTTCTAGAATATCCTCTGCGCCTTTGCCAAATTTCATCGCGACCCGTTCAGCCATTTAGGCTACAAACTAACAGACATCCATCCATCTAAACTTTCGCATTTGTAATATTAATAAGATTCGTTTCTTATTGTAATCTAGGTCCTGGGTTGGAATCCCACCATTTACCTACCTTACTTCGAGTAGGATCCCTCAGTGGGTACCTAAGGTGATTAAGTGAAATAATTACCTTTACCTTGATAAATCCCCTGCCTTCGTTAGTCTCCTCTATATAATAGAGCAGTCGTTGTCTGTTCTGTCTGATGTAGTGTTTGGTAGCGGCCGCCTCCTCCGCGCTCGCCGCGCTCGCCGCGCTGTGCTGCGCCGGCGTCTGCCCCGACGTCGACGGCGTTGTGCTACAACAAACATACCAACTGTTAGACAACTTATTTAATTGATACTGTCGCTTTAAACTCAGAGCAACACTTCTCGTTAGGACTAAGGATGCGCGCCAATCTATCCATACTTCTAGTGACATTGACAGATGTCAGCTAGGGACGTGACGTTTATGCCGATAATCTAGAGTTGCGCCAATTCTATAGCACGGTACTAATTTTATTCCTAACACTACTGAGGGATAGCACGAAAATTCTCGAGAAAATATCCGTAATACCTGATAAACCGCTGTTGTAGTCTAAATTTTTAATAATGATTATATTTTTAATAAAAAATCGACATTTACACTGTGTACGCTACGCCTGTCATCTGTATGTACTGTTTTTAATTTATTTTGTCTACAATATGTTTAATTTGTCTGTGTACTTTAAACTGGCTATTGTACTATTAATAAATAAATTAATGTATATGATGTAGTGATACCTATCTTCGTCGGGGGCGGAGTCGTCGTGGTCGGGGGGCAGGCGCGTCGCGGAGCGCGCATGCTCTAACGAAATGGGCGCTCCGATACCAGTCGCGAAACCCATTATTCGCTGCATGTTGAAGTTTCGGCCCAGCTGACCCCTGAAATACATGAGAATTAAAAATTTCATCCGTTCAACTATCACCAATATGGTGACAGATGGAACCCTTATGAAATAAAATAAGTTCCAACCGTCCCCTCGTCGCAAGGTGGGACGGATGAAACTTTTTATTCTCATCACCACCTCGGGACAGAGTGTCGTGATGGTTGGGAATAATCCTGCGCTGAGGGTAGCCTACCCTAAGGGTGAATAGGCCATAATCAAACCAGGCTGGGCTGTGGATTGACTTATGTCTTTGAATTTCTTCGCCGATGTGTGCATGTATCACGATGTTTTTCCTTCACCGCGAGAACGTCGGATAAATTATGTACATATGAAATTCGAAAATCACATTAGTACAGCGGTATTCGAACCGAGGACCTGTATATTACAAGTCAAGTGCTTAACCCCTGAGCCACCGACGCACTCGACGTTGCACATTAAAAGTTAATTATTGGCCTTTTTTCATAATATAAGGTGGCAAACGAGCAAGCGGCCACTTGAATCCACCGAAATGGAAAGCGACCGCTGCCCATAAACATCCGCAATTGCAGATGCGATGCCTATACTTAATTGACGGAGGAGGAGACGCACATAAAGTGGATATTTTCCCTTCCTGTGCGTCTCCTCCAACGTCAAATCCGCTTTCCCTTCCCATCCTTTCCTATTAAGTAAATGATGGAAAGGGAAAGGGACTATAATCAGGGTTTCCATCGCCTGTTTTCTGTGTGGTCGTGTTATTACACCGGGCGAGCCGACCCATTCATGCGAAGATGTTAAAACGGGCTCTACCACTGTATAAAACTAAGTAAAAAAACTAAGCAAAAACTGTTCAATTCTACAAACCTCTACACTACAAGATGATGATATGTTATGTTAAATAAGAATCGTTTTATGATTACTTAAAAATTATTAATGGTTTCTTGTATTCAATTTGCACTAATGGTGAATCCCTTTTAGTAGCTACTCAATTTTATTATCTGATAACAATCGAAGGTGTACAATGTTTGATGGAAATATACGATTTTGTTACTTTATCTGACAGTGACGTCATTTTTAAGCTGAGTCTACCAGCCAGTGGTGGGACAGGCCCTAAGGACGACAGTCTGTCTAAATTAGTACACAAATGTAAATAGAAACGTATTTGTATGTATAACGTCCATTACAATTTCATTACCAAAAGTTGTGATTATGTATTTTATTTATTTTATTTTATGTGTGTGTTAACTTAAATGAAATAAATTTAAAATTTCCCCTAATTTAAAATTATATTTGAAATTAGAAGATTAGAGATAACAAAGTTTTGATATACGAGTACGAGTAAAAGCGTGCCAATGGATTTTGTAATCTGTGCCTATACTACTGAGTTACGACCGTGAGAGCATAAAAAAAAAACGTCAAGCCTACGCAAAAAAAATAGTAACAATAACTCTTACATCTATGATTAGTACTAACAAATACTAATAAACAATAGAATAATTTCAATTTATTTCATATAAAAAAAAAACATAAACAAGCACATACAATATAATTCATCATTTATTCTATACTATTATAATAAAGCGTAAACACACAGTTCTTTGTTGCTTAAGATATCAGCAATTACAGCATATTTCTGAATAAATCTGTCTTTAATAAAAAGTCATAAGCTTACGACACGCTTTAGGCTATATATTTTCACGCTATTAAACTTAGGGGATAAATGTGGGAAAGGGACCATAAACAAGCTGACAACATCAAGGAAAAAAAATTGCCAGGGTTGTCATCATGTCATGTCATTTTGACATTTACAATTGATAATTTGATAAATGTAAGCAATAAAAAAAGCCGCACGGGAACAGCTAGTATACCTTAAATAGCTTACCTTATATACATTTCTTGAACCATTCTGTGCTGTTTGATTGTTATTGACGCCTCCCATACATCATTTTGTATACTAGGAAGAGCCTAAAAATAAATAGTGGGATTTACACAAAACCATTCGACGCTACTAATAATCTATTATATGTATACAGGAGCTTTTACGAATTGACTACAATAAATTATAATGTCTACAGTTCATCAATATGCTCACCCTTCCTAGCCTAGCGTTGGCGGTGGCGACGGTGGGGGCGGCGGCGGCGACTGCGGCGGCGGGCTGCGCGGCACCGCCCTCCGCCCCGCGCCGCGCACTGCCCCCGGACTCCGCCGGTGTTCCCTCACCCTCTCTTCTATTACGACCTTCCCCCCTTTAAGTCATAATACAGAGGCTGTCTTAACTTAACAGCTGGCAACATCGTAGGATCGCGTAAAATGACAGATGAACTTAAGCCGCCAAGATTTGAAAAGACGCATATACAAGTACACAAGATAGAAAGAGATAGATAACATATTTTCAATTCCACTCGCTTTTAAGGTGAATGACTTTGTATCGCTAGTTGTACCTGTATAGTGCAGGTGACAGTTTGTAACGTTTCGTTTTACTCTTGAAAATTGCAGCGATTCACAAATTATGATTTAATATTTAAGCTGTACCACATTCGTTATTTATTAAATAATAACTGTAGTAGTTTAGTACGGACAGATGATAATGTCATAAAAGAAAATGTTACCACACATAGTATAGTATGATCAATTTTATTCAGAACGGCTCTCAAGCGGACTATCAGCAGTACACAATATAAGTTCATAATCCAGACAGGCATATTACATATATAAAACTTGGCACACCCCTCTCGGGTCGTAATATTCTTATCAATTAGGTATATTTCAGCATTTCATTATTTTTTGTATATTATGTTTGACAGAATTTAGTAATTACATTAAAGTATACAACTTTTATTCAATATATGAAGATATATCGAAGATCATCCCTAACTTAGGGAAGACTCCGAGCGCTTTAGTAAGGACACATAGTGAGTTAATAATCTAATGGATGATGAGATTAGTATATACTGGGCAAGCATATAAAAATCAATTAAGTGGTGTTTAATGTTATCTGTATAATGTATTCAAAAATAATCTATATAGTCATCACCAGCTCTCTATACTTCCCCACTGAGGGACTCGGAGCTTACCCTAACAAGGGGTGACTAGGCCATATTCAACCGCGCTAACCCAATGCGGGTTGGTTGACTTCACACATATCTTTGAATTTCTTCGCCTATATGTGCAGGCAGCACGATGTTTTTCTTCACCGTACGAACGTCGGGTAAATTATGTACAAATGAAATTCGAAAAATCGAAAATGACATTGGTACATGGCGGGATTCGAACCGACCTGTAGATTACAAGTCAAGAGTTCGAACCCATGACCCACCGACGCTCTATCATAAATAGTAAGTACTATTAAAAAGAAAATTAGTACTCCATTGGAGGATTGGCACAACACTAGATTATCGGCATACACGTCCCGTCCCTATCTGACAGCTGTCAATGTCATTCATATATTACCAAGCCGATACTCAGTATAACTAGGTTGTTACAATGATATTATTAACGAGGTTTAGGCTAAGCGCCATCTGCACTCGGCCATCTCAAGCTCGGTGAATCTGTAAATGTCTTTTCAAGGCAAACAGTGGCCATTCAGTCACAAAAAGAAATATATTATTGTCAAGTACGGTTAAAAGAATCAGTACTGCGCTGCAGGATTGGCGCAACACTAGATTATCAGAATACACGACCTTGACAGCTGTCAATGTCATAAGACGTATTGGTAAAGCGCGTCTTTATGGCGGAATAAGTACTCTTGATGAAGTAAATTACGTTAGTTTTTTTATGGCGGCATTTACCGCTCTCGTCGCTCCCTGACATATATTTCTCAGGGACCTGGTATGCTGGTGTTTTCATTTTCAAAAAAATTAACAGTTTCTATATCTAAAAATATATTATATCTATACCACAGCCTTTACCACTCTTTCTAGCTCAGTTAAAAATTAATAATTAAATTGAAAACTAGAATTACATTACGTTAGTTACAATTATACTACAGTAGAACCTCGATAACTTAAAAACCTTTATAACTTCAAAAAATAATATATTCCCTTCCCATCAGAGCCCAAAACCTCTACAACATAGACCCTTGATAACTTAAAACCTGTATAATTTAAAATATTATGTGTTTCCTTTGGACTTTTAACTTATCGAGGTTCTATTGCACATCATCTTCCCGAAATCTGGAATTTTTTTTAATATCACAGACACTCCTATTTTATTATTTGTATATATTGGACTTTAGCTTATCGAGGTTCTACTGTATTTTAGTACTAACCGTGAGTGTGCGGAGCGTTCATACGCCAGTCTGAGGTTTGAGGGTCGTGCGATGAGTCGGGCGCGCGCGGGGGGCGTGCGGCGCGGCGCGCGGGGCGAGGGCGGCGAGGGTGGCGAGGGGGGCGAGGGGGCGGGCACGTTGGCTGACGTCAGCGCCGGCTCCGGCAGCAGCGATGGCGTGAGCGGGGGAGGGGAGCGCGGCTCCATATCCAACGTTGATTTATCCGAACGGTCAATGGGCTGGATGTCGTGGATGCACGACCACTGAATTAAAAAAAAAAAACAATTTCATCTATACTATTATAATAAAGCGTAAACACATACTTTGTTGTCTAAGATGTCAGCAATTACAGCATATTTTTAAATAATTCTTTTTTAATAAGAAGCCCTACACTTATGCCATGCTTTAGGCTATATATCTTCACGCCAGTAAACTCAGGGGGTAAATATGTTGGATAAAAACCCTAACGTGGGAAAGAGACCATAAGTTGCTGCCAACAACAAGGAACCAAGATTGCCAAGGTTTGTCATGTCATGACATTTGCTATTGATAGTTTGACAAATGTAAACAATAAAATAAAATTTTCATAATTTCATTTTCAAGCCGCACGGGAACAGCTAGTATACTATAAATAATATTTTATGTCGGTTTGTGGATTTAGCGCTAGAACAAATCAACCTACCTCTGAACGATCGCCATGGCTGATATTTCTGCTTAAAGCACACCAGCCTTGGGGATGGATCTGGAAAGTGAAATTAATTTAAAAAAATAGATTTCATTAGACGTCTTCCTAATCTTACTAATATAAATTCGAAACTTTAGATGGAAGGATGTTATTTACAGTCTGTAGCCTTAACCGCAGAATAGATCTCAATAAAATTTGGTGTAAATTTAGATAGTCCGGAACACATTGGCTACTTTTGTCTTTAATTCTAAGCAGACGGAGTCGCGGACAAAAACTAGTATGAGATAAAATTTAAATCTAAAGGTTTTTTATAGACATAGAATTATATTTATCAATCAGAGTGACTAATCAGGCATCTTTTTGTATTACCTATTTCATCTAATATATACTATTATAATAAAGCGTAAACACACACGTCATTGTTGCCTAAGATGTCAGCAATTACAGCATATTTTTGGAAAACTCTTCCTTTAATAAAAAGCCCTACACTTCCGTTACGCTTTAGGCTTTATATTTTCACGCCATTACACTTAGGGGTAAACATCAAGGAATCAAGGTTGCCATGGTTTGACATCATGTCATGTCATTTTGACATTTGCAATTGATAATATGACAAATGTAAACAATAAAATGAAATTTTTATAATGTTATGCGGATGAAGTCGCTTGGGAACAGCTAGTATTATATATACCTGTAGTGCGCTGACGACCTTCGCGTCGTTCCCCACGGGGAAGTCAGAGACGAGCTCGACGCGGTTCTCGCGGCGATCCTCATCGAACAGGTGGTCGTACATCGCCGCTATTGGGATCAGCTGGTGGCTCATCTGCATCAGCCTGTACAGGTTCGGCTGGAGGAAACATTACCATATTAAATACTAAGAAGAATTACACTTTTTTATATATATCTATACTAATAGATGACAGATAGGTATTATTGGATTTTTTGTATGTGTTCAATTCACGTAAAAACTACTAGGCTTCAAAAATTCTTCCACCATTACATATGCAATTTATCTGTGAGTAAAATAGGCTATATTCTTTATTAGCTGTCGCCCGCGACTCCGTCCTCGTGATAAAAAAACAAAAGTGAGTAATCTATGTGTTCTTCCAGACTATCCTCTTCATATATGCCAAATTTAATCGAAATCCGTTCAGCCGTTTAGGCTACAAACCTTAACAAACATCCATCCATCCATTCATCTAAACTTTCACATTTATAACATTAGTAAGAAACAAGATTAACTATACTTTAATTTCAAGCGGGCGAAGTCGCGAGCTACTAGTTTTAAATAAATGGACATATTGACTAGCTCCAAAGTAGTGTTTATTTTTGTTATTATATATTCTAGAATATTAAATCCCCAGCTCACTATATGTCTTCACAAAGGACCTCGAAGCCAACCTTTAGTTAGGCCATAGTAAATGCTGGCCCACTTTGGGTTATTTCACACATATCTCTGAATTTCTCTGAATTTCTAAAGAAATTGTACGCATATATGTAATTCTAATTATAAAATGGTGGGATTGGAACACAAGACAGATTAGATTACAAAGTGCTTGAGCCTTCAACACTCTAAAAAAAATAACAAAAACGTATATTTTGACTTACTTTAAATCCTCGCATATCACGTGCCAATGTTGATAAGTTCAAATTATGTATAATGACCAGCAAGCCTCCCGTAGTACACATCACCATTTGTTTAGCATCAGGCGACAGTCTGCATCTCATCAAATCAGACGCATGAAAAACTCTATGGTGCACAACATTATACTCTGTATATGTGTTAATATCCCACGTATATATACTACCATCTAACCCTGATGTAACTAACAATTTGTCTTTAACGGAGAATTCAATATTCTTCACCCAATTAGAGTGACCAATTAGTGAACAGATTTTTCTTCCTAAATTCCTAATATCCCATAACGCTATTGTAGCATCATCAGAACATGTTGCAAACATTCTGCTATCTAAGAATCTGAAAATAATAAACCATATATTCTTCACCAAGAACAAATAAATAATTTTTTAAAGATCTTGAGGTCGAGGGTTCAAATCCCACTATTCGACTCTTGTCGTGAACCATATCCTAGCACAAGCCTAGAGCTTAGTTGGAATGGTTAAAGGAAATATTAGTAAATTAACAAAAATCTACTTTTTTTAATAAAAATAGTTATAATTTGACAATCCTATGTTGTAACAGTTATAAATGTGTGGAATTGATAAAACAAAAGTAAATAGCCTATATCTTCCAGACTATACTCTAGATCTGTATTAAATTTCATCACAATCAAGAAAAGAAGTGTTTAGGGTACAAACTCATCTAGCTATCTAAACTTTCGCAGTTCCAATATTAGTAAGTTTATAACAAAGTAAGATAATAAGTTTTAATACTTACTTAACACAATTAACGCAATCTGAATGTGCCACATTTACCGAATGAATTCTATCATGTGTTAGAGGATCAAATATCTGTATTGATCTTTTCTCACAAGCTGCCACCAACAAATTTCTGAAATATATATAGAAAAAATTTGTATCAGTGACTATCAAATAGTTAGAAGACCGAAATATACAATTTTAGTGTCATGTAAGTGCCCAAATATTTTATGTATTACAAATATTACAATTATTATAATTTTCATATCGTAATTAACGATGTTAGAAAATGCATTTTGAAATCATTGATTTTACACTTTTTTACGTGACTACCCATGTGTAAAAAAAACCTTAGTAAAGAGACTGTGTTCTTCCATATGCAGAAGAACCTTTATAAGTTAAAGTCCAAGGGAAACACAAAATACGTTAAGTTATAGAGGTTTTAAGTCATCAAGGGTGTATGTTGTAGAGGTTTTGGGCTCTGATGGGAAGGGAACATATTATTTTTTGAAGTTATAGAGGTTCTTAAGTTACCGAGGTTCTACTGTTTTACTTGTTACTATTTAGCAAGGGTCACACCAAGATAATCGAAACTTCCTTGAATTATATATATTAAAGTATTTATAAGTTAAAGGATAAATTCATCAAGGAAATCTATATTTACATCAGGGTCAGTGATTGTTTTTATTATAATGAAATGGTCTTACTGACCTTGTCAACAGATTATTTTATGTAAAAAAAACTTTCTACACATTATTATTAGATAAGACAGACAAAAAGGTGACATGTGTATGGTAAACATTTTCAACACACAATTGTACTTTGTAAAAGAATAATATTTATACAGTAGCAAAAACTTCAAAAAATAATATGTTCCCTTCCCATCAGAGCCCAAAACCTCTAAAACATAGACCCTTGATAACTTAAAACCTCTATAAATTAAAGTATTTTGTGTTTCCCTTGAACTTTGAGTTATTAAGGTTCTACTGTACTAGTGAGTAATATATGAAGATATTAACATCTTCAGCTACAAAAAATTCTAGAATATATCACATGTAGTTAGTTTCTCAACAAACAATGAACTCAATGCTCAATGTATTACTGTTCTATTCACTGTGCAGAATGCAATTATAGATTTAACAGTATTAAGGGGTTTCTGCTGATGACCTTTGACTGCCAAGTTATTGGAAAAGACTATGACACAACACAGACAGACAGATAAGATTAAATGTATATACTGTACTAAACTAGGCGGAAAGATGTATTGTTGGAAGACATGGATGATTGCCAGGCTTCAGATAGACAGAGTGAAGTGGAAGAGTCAAATCAGCAAATCCGACCTCACCACTAAATGAGATACAACTTAGGAAGAGATGGATGGTGCGCTGTGTTGCTACTGTGATTTAAACTTATCCACTTTTCTCCAATCAAGTAAAAGCCGTGAAACGTATAAATTGTCAAACGTACTTTTCATAGTACTTACCCTTCTGGAGAGAACTCGAGGTTAAACACTCCTCCAGTAGGAACATCATTATTTTTTTCGTAATCCCAGTAAGCAATTGGTTTCATGCCACAATAAAGACTTTTTGACAATGCATTTTCGCTGCCAATGGGGGTAGGTAATCCTATTTCTCTTCTTAGTAGTCTATAAGGACTAAAAGCTGAATTTCTAGACATAAAAGTTGAAGTATAATTGCTGCCCATTGTTATTTATTTACTATTAAATATAAGTGAAAGTTATATCTACGTTTCCTTAAGTACTTCACATAACAGGTGGAAATAAATGCAAGTATAACATTATCGATATATTTGATAATACATTTTCTCCTTTAGTTACAAATTAGCAAACGAAAAGATTAATTAAATATAAGATAAATACAGATCATATTGTAACTTGATTGGCAATGCGGAAATTCTACCACAGACAAATGAAAAGTATGATATGACACAGTTGACACATAAAATGACACTTCTCTATGACTCCTAGATGTGAACTCAAGTGAAATTGATGACTAGATGCTCAGTTCGCGTTTCGCATGTGTGAAGCAGATTAATAAACTGGATCGTAGATCAGCTTAATTTGTGCAGTAATCTAAATACACCGAGGTCCACTTTCGGAAAAATCGATTTGTTCCTTGCAAAGTGGGTTACCAGTGAGTTCCGCAAACGTCGGAAAAATAATAAAAAGCAATTAGCCGTGTACAACTGACCGACCTATTTTTGTAGACACATTTAAAAGTTGCATTCTATTGGATATATTTCAGCTTCGTCGTCTCAATGTATACAAAAAGTTCAAACGACTGTACATTTTAAGGTGGAATTTCGCTAGATTCCCCGATTGTACCTGCATAGCTGTATCTTTTGCATGAGATGAAATGTACGGGATAGATCCAGTCTTGTCGGGTCTCCGACATAGTTATGGTAGTTCGCGTTGAATCGTGACTTCTAATTTTGTTATTGAGCCGCAGCTCAACGGTTCGAGGCTAAGTGATCTGATCTTCTGTACCGGTTAAGAGATGAATCCCACGTCTAATAAAGTACAGATAAGGTAAATGTAGATGTCGGCATGTGGTATCAATTTTCGAAAGTATTTAATTTATAAGATTTTCACCTACAATGCTTATTTTTTGCTTTTGATTATATTTCTTTATGTATCAAAAGGCATAAGCAATTTTTGTAAATGATGACACAGATTTTTGACAGTGACAGAGTGACCGATAAAGTCAACAACGTTTCCGTTACGTTTTAACAAGTGTGCTTGCTATTCTTATTTTTAATAACATTTTAATATGAAATAATAACTTATCAACTAAACCGTGTGGACATCACATTTATATAATCATGAGTGATATATCAGTATTGTCAGACTTTGAAAATAGTTATAACATAATCGATAATTTGTCGAGAGAAAATATAAAACATGACATTAGTATTTCAGATCCATTAGCAGGTTTTGAAAAACTACGCATTTCTGCTCTTACAAAAGCTGCTGAAATAAGTCCAATGGTCAAAGAAGTAACAATCGGTCCAAAGAGTCCTTTAAAAAATACGAAGTTAAAAGAAAATACTCCGGTTAAAAATGACGACAATGATTTAAGTTTGCTTGAAGATAAAATTGGTGAGGATCTCCGTTATACACTTATAATGAAGCAGTACGAATCAAAATTATTGGAGTCTTCAGAGGAGTTGTTTAAAAACTTGATCGAAAAAATGATATCAAAGCACACTGAGAGTATGAGAACCTTTTGGAAAAAACAGAGTGAAGAAAGTGAACGGAAAGCTTTAGAGTTGCGTGCAAGAAGGTTGCAGATGGTAAAGCAGTTGCGGGATAATGACAATTTGTCTGTTTTAGACAAAGCTAAATTGGATGAGAAAAACTGCCAAATTATAAATAAATCTACAATAGACAACATGAACCGAATATTGGAAGAACAAAACAAGGCAGCCAGCAGATTTGCTGCCATTACAGATAGTCGGACAAAAGTGTGTATTTGTTATAATGATATTAGTAATATATTAAACTCTGAACCTCATGCAAAGTCTATATATGACAAATATGTAATGTCTATCAATGCAGTCATTGGAAATATAAATTCTATTATGGAACTTTGTAAATCCGGAACTATCACTGACAAAGAAGTGAAACAGGCGGAAATATTATCTCTAAACATTGAAAACATTCATAAGAAAATCTTGGAGGATTTAAATGAGATCAAACTGAAGGAAGAGGTGCTTAAAAAGAAAGAAATAGAAGAGCAAAGGATGAAAAAAGAAAATGAAATTAAGAAACTAAAGGAGAAAGTTGAACAAACAAATACAAAAATTGAACCTAATAAAACAACACCTATGTTTTATTCTTCTAAAAACTATGCTTACTTTGTTGAATTGCGAGACTTTTTAAATGCATATGAGAGCAACTATAAGGAACTGTTAGAAAATGCAAATTTGAAAAAATTTAGATTTGATTGCCAAAAAGCTGTTAATACACCAGTGAATGCATTGTCTTCAGTAAGTGGTGCACATATTAGAGACAAATTTGATAAACTGTATAAATTACTTAGAGGTGAGAGAGTACAGGTGTTGGATACATATGTCCAAGCAACACAACATCCTCAAGGATTGCACTATTGTACTGCTTTATTAGCTAAGAAGATAGTAAGACAAGGAGATTTATTAGTTTCAAGTAACCCAGAGGCAGCTTATCCTCTTGCAGCAGTTGCTGTAGCATTAAGGGCACAATTTCCAGAGTTTGGGAAACTTCTAGAAGCTAATTTCCATAGACAGTGCCCTTACTTGGTACCAATGTTGTTGCCACAAAAAGAAGGACAAACTGATAAAGAATTCTATATATCTAGAGGTTATATTTATAATGAGGATGGAGCTGTTGAAAAGCAAGATAAATTTTTGAAAAGGATGTCCGGTATATTCCAGCTTTGTTGTGCTATTTGGATAGCAAAGATGCCCAAATTTGTTAACACATCTAATCCTCATGGTTTATGTCAGGGTTGGAAGTGGCTTTCTTCTTTTATCAACTTGAAACCAGAACCCGACATCTGTGCAACACTTCTTCATGTTTTCTTCTCTGTTTGTGGTTCTGAATTTTACAAAAATTACAAGAAACAATTTGTTAAAATCATTAAATTGGTCAGTACAGACTATCTGAAGATTCTAGAGAATATAGATGAAGGCGGACCAAAAACGAGATTGGAAGTGTACTTACAAAATGTTTTAAAAACTGGCCAAGTGCCGCCACCTAGTGGTCTTTTGCCTCCAAATACTTGGTAGCTTTTAAGTGTAAATGAAATTTGATTTATAAGTAATAAAATGCATGATTTGAATCGAACAAAATGATTTTGATACATGATTTTAATATTTGATTTATGTAAAGTAAATGAAGGTACTGAAATATTTGAGGATGATTACTTTGTTATATGTAATAAATAATGATTACATTTGTAAAGTAGTTTTCTTTTCCTTTATTTGGAAATTTTATGTACAAAAAGGTCAAGGGGTGACGAAGGACAGCAAAAAATATGGTTTAGTCCATCTATTCCTTTCAAAATGCTGTATAATAAGACTGCATAATGCCAATTCATTATTATCAGTACTATCTTTACAGTTAATAAAATTGGAGTGGTATGTCCTAAACAAAATCCATATTTCGAGATATCTGCAGTGTCTGGGTCGATTTTGACGAGACTTTCACTGGTTCCTGACAGAGATGTAATCTGAAGAATAAATGTGTTCTGTGGGTTTAACTTATCTAAGATACACGTATCTGACAGATATAAGATTTTTCATCTTATGTATAATGTAATGTAGGGGTGTTATTGAAACGGCGATTGCTACTGGACTGATTTATTAATAGTAAGCGGACGGTACATTATATTAAGATACCCTCATATATACCACAGTATAAAATACTATAATTTACTTCGTTTGGTATCTACTGAGATACCAGTGTACCAGTATTTTACCAGAAAACAAATTTTTAAAATACTGACTTTAAAAATTTGTTTTTTGGTAAAATACTGTTAGTAAACGAGACTACAACGTTTGTAGACGATTTGTTGAACGATGCATTGCCCGCATTCAGTGCACTGACACAAGGTCATCGGGCGGCAAGCCTACTCAACCGACCAGTCCTGGGTAGCTATTTTTTCGACCCATTTATTTGTCTTTAAATGTATATTTAAATTTTATTAATGTTTTGTTATTATAATTGCTATCAATGAAGTATTTGTTACGTTTATTTTTAGATAACAGTGTTATAATCAGCATTGATATTGCTTTCAAACGACAAAACAACGACGACCGTCAGACTGTTAGTACGTCTCGAATTTTTAAACAATATAATTCAAAAAAATGGTAAGGTGCATCTTTTTTGTTTTTTTTTTTTTATCAATTAATTTAATGTATTATGCCCGGTTCATACTTGGTAAATACAGTTTGACAGATGCGATGGCCAGTCAGTCATAGATTTAATGGAATCACTGTGCAACTTGTTTGACAGTCCAGTTAATAACTCTAACAAACTTCCATCCATCTATCCATCTAAACTTTCACATTTATAATATTATTAAAACTTTAAAAATCGAAGGTACATTGAAAACGGTTACTTGCAACAATTATTGTAGTACTAACCCTCGGACTTTGCGCGAAATAAAATTATTATTTAGCATAATGTGCGCGATTCCAGTCAGTAATCTATTTTCTTGCCAAAGCTAATCCGAATTCGTTTAGCCATTCATTTAAACTTACGCATCTATAATATTAGTAAGGTGACACTTCCTCCGATTTGTGCAGGTGGTCTTTAACGCTCGAGGCTTGATGCCACCGGTGTTCACACCACTTAACAATGACCATACCATAAACTTTGCGGCGATACCAGAATATGCTAAGTACCTTGCAAATGCTGGCATCAAATCCGTCCTTGGTAAGTTACCGGACAAAGCCTTATTTAGATGCACCTTATATTTGAAATTGAAACATACATAAATTATCAGATTTATTCTCTTTTCTTTTTCTATGAAGTTGGTGGTACGACTGGGGAGCACATGTCCTTAAGCGTTGATGACAGGAAAAAAGTAATAGATGCCTGGGTAAAGGTTGCTAAGACCACCGGTCTTCATATACAAGTGCAAGTCGGTGGTGCTCCGTTGCAAGATGTCTTGGATTTGGTAAGAACAATAAAGACAACAGCACTAAACAGTGCTGCGTCAAACCTTCCGAGTCTAAAATTTGGACGATGTTAGGATGTTGGGTTAAAAATGTACTCATCTGAAACGAATTAGTGCAAGTTTAATAAACGTCAAACCCAGTATTTTAAATTGCATCTTAGCAACGCCGATATAAGATGTTGACAAATTTGAAGGTTACAAGAACACCTTATCACTGGAAGTTAACATTTCGGTGTTATCATTTATGTAACTTCCACTCATATCGCTTGAGATAATTCATTCTTGCTGTATACACACCTATTTATTCTTAATGATTGAATCGAAATAATTTTTAGGATACACTTTATTCGGAAAAATGAATTCCTACAAATCTTACTCTTTTGTAGAAAGTAAACTTGTTTAAAATTAACTTAATTAAATATTTTGTTACACGACTGGCAAGGCAGTAAATTTTTATCGATATGGGAAAACAGAAGGCGGCCACCAGAATTCGTCGAAACAAGCCGTCCAAAAGCGACCGCTCCCCATAGATAGATAATTGCTCGATACATGAGGAGTCATAAAGATATTTTTCCCTTTCTCACGTCCCTTCCTGAGATTTTGATGAGTGACGTTCAATTAGTGTTCCCTAGAGTGTATGGGTAGAGTTAGTAGTTTTTTCAAATAACGAATCTTATTTTTTAGGCCTCGTATTGCCAAAATGTGGGAGCAAATTCGCTTTTAACTCTACCTGAGTTGTACTTCAAGCCGGATAGTGTGGATTCCCTGGTGGACTACGTGGAGCTGGTTGCTCAGGCTGCGCCCAACCTGCCTGTACTCTATTATCATATACCGAGCATGAGTAAAGTAGAAAGTGAGTTGTACATTATTATGGTTTGTCGTTTGTGGATTTACACCGTGTATGGTCATAGGATAGTGAAAATTTGGATATATGGATGGATATTTGATAGACAATCTAAACTGCTGAACGGATGATGAAATCTAACATAGAACATAGTTTTGAAGAGCACATAGTTCACTTACTAAGTTTTTGTTTAAATTTCGCGCAGACGGAGTCACGTGTGAAAGCTAGCAATATAAACAAATTAAGAGCTGTTGCTCTTTAAAATTAGGGTACTTTAGAATGTTTTTAATTTCAACAGTGAACATGCCAGCGTTTGTAACTAAGGCAACATCGCGTATTCCCAACTTCAAGGGCATTAAGTTCACATCAAACGACTTGAGTGAAGGCGCGCAAGTGTTGAGGGCGCTGAAGGATGGGCAGGAAATGTTCCTCGGAGCTGACACTGTAAGAATTTTTTGACACCGTTATTCACTGTATTTAAAAAAAAAACGTTAAATTTGAAACAAACCCACTTTTGAGATTGAGATCATGGTAAATATTGTTTGTAAATAGATAAATTTAAATTTTCATATTTATGAAGTTAACTGTACATTTATGATTCTTAATATATCTTGCAATCATCCAAAACCACAGTTGATCGCGCCAGCGGCATTACTAGGCATAAAGTCCAGTATCGGCACCACTTGGAACTTGTTCCCGAGATTAGCTCAAGACATACTGGAAGCGGTGGAGGGGAACAACGTTGCCAAAGCGAGGTCTTTGCAGGAAAAGCTCAGCCTGGCGATTGAAGCGCATACAGTTGAAGGTAGATTGTAAATGTATTTAATTAGGGTTTTAAAGATTGTTGCAAATCTTTTCTCCGAGATTAAATTTATAAAACCTTAGCAGGGCCATTTTAATAGATTACATTTGTAACATTGTAACGGCGGCCGCAATTTTTTTTTAATTTCTTTACTTTTGAACTGTCCAATTACTTTTTGTTTTTATTTTTTATTTTTTATTTTTTAATTTAGATTACATATCAACTCAATCTTTGTAATATAATTCGCTTTATGTCTTAGGTCCATGGGTACCCATAATGAAGGCAGGTATGGAAATAGTTTCCGGAATAAAAGTCGGCCCGCCATCATTGCCGCAGAAACCGATTTCTGATGAAGCGAGAAAAAGAATCGAAAATAGATTAAGAAAACTTGAAATTATTAACTGAAGCCACATTGCTGATAATAAAAGTGTAATAAACTGTTTACTATTGGTTTAATTGGCAATTATAAAAATCTTCACACTATATATGTTTTTTTTTTTGTATTTACCACAATATCTTTACTATCTAAAACAATCACAAAAAAGATAGACAAAGTGTAGACAACACATTTCCCTAGAAAAGAGAAAATAAAAAAAATATACCCATAACAAAAAATTAAGAAAACACGTTGGAATAATGGAACGTAACGTGTTAAAAATCAATAACTCTTTGACTTAGCCTTGACGTAGTACTCTTTGATTTCAATCAAATCAATAACTTCCGTCAAAATATTGACAATCCGAAACGATGTTCGAAAAGTTCGTTTTAAAGTGATACTTTTGGCTCATTATAACATAAAATACAATGAATAACAACACGGAACAAGTATTCATTATAAACCATTCACAAGAATTTGAAACGAAAGATGAGAGTGAACTTGGTACAGGTCAAATAAACCTCGAAAGTAAGTGTATACTTTTGGTTTTTTTATTTACTATTTTAATAAGAATATGCTAGTTTCTCTTTTATAGTAGTTGTATATGAACGTATAAATATAATATTTTTGTAATTACATACAAAGTTTTGTGAAAAATATTTTAACTGTGAATCAGCAACACCTCATCCATTTTCGAAACTATAGAACATTAATTTGCTGAATCTTCTGGAAGTAGTTATTACACAATGATAACATGTAGAACAGTATCTCAAAGTAGGCGATACGCCTCTGTGGATGCTGGGGGACTAGGGGCCTGTTATTGAGCTATTTAAGGTGAAAAAAAAATTGCTACAAACTTTTTATTTCAGATATTGAGGATTTTACAAATGTCTGTCGAACCTGTGCAGCTGTTACAGAATTTGTTGTACCGATATTTATAGGAGAAGGCTTACAGAATAAATTAGCTGATAAAATACACAAATATCTTCCTATTCAGGTAATTATATCCATTTTTAAAACACTAGTCATGGGTAACTCAAAATTGTTGATCCACTTGTGTAAATATCAGTATTTTGGCTTGCAGCTCAGCTTAATTTGTATTTATCAGACACAAATTACTAGATAAACCGCAGATGCATGACCAGTCTCATAATTTAGGCTTCTAGAGCACAACTTCTCAATGCACCAACAAATCTCTTGTTAATCAAGCTTAAAGGACTATTCCTTTATTTATAATTTTTTTTATCACTAGTTGTTGCTCGTGATTTAGCCGCGTTTAATTAAAAATAAAAAGTAAAAACAAAACCCATGTTATTCACTGATAACATAGTTTTTATGGTGCGAGAATTTTTGAAATCGGTCCAGTTGTTTTTGAGTTATTTCAACATACAAAAATCCAAAAATAAAAATTTTTCCTCGTTATAATATTATTTTATATTTTATATTTATATCATAGTAATATTATAAATTCGAAAGTTTAGATGGATGAATGTTTGTTAGAGTTTGTAGCATAAACGGCTGAACAGATTTCAATGAAATTTGGCATAGATGTAGAGGATAGTGTGGAAGAACACATGGGGTACTCAATTTTGTTTTTTTAATTCCTTGCGAACGGAGGCGCGGACGGAAGCTAGGTATCTTATAATTATATTTATTGCAACAGGTATCAGAAGAAGATGTGTTACCTCAGGTGGTCTGTTACCAATGTGTCAGCACGCTCATATCATGGCACGACCTTGTGCAGAACTGTACGCAGGCTGACACCGCACTCAACAACAAGCTTTCGGAACTCCTTCAAGTCTGTTGTTTTATTATTTGTGTTTTATAAATTTTTATGTAAGACAATTAACCATTATATCTTTTTCAGGATTCGACCAGTAAAATCCACGATAGAATATATGAGATAAGAACAAAAGGAAAGTAAGTATTTTAGTCGAATTTCAATTTTTATTTATGAAATCTTGTCTTAGAGATCTGGATTTCGTAAATAAAAATTACATACCATTTCAGGTTAGAAACAAAATTGTCTGTATCAAATGTAAGAGATATTGTAATCAAAACTTTCCAAATAACTGATATAAATCTGATGAATTTTGGATTAGAATTTCTTTGTGAAAAGTGTAATAAACAAATACCTACATTGGACTGTTTTGTTGAACATTTACAGTCACAACACAATTGTGACTCCAAAAACGTAACAGAAGCCTTCATAAAAGAAAACGTATCTATTGTTGAAGTGTTAGCAGAAGACATAACAGATGTAGAATCAGACAAAGAAATAAATGTAGTAAAATTAAAAAGATTCAATTGTCCCTTTTGTGAAAGTTCCTTTTCTTCCCCAACACGTCTCATCTGCCATTTGAACCAACATGTTGAAGTCAGCATCGAGGATGGAATGAACTGCTGCGACACTATATATTACGACACCAAATTGTTCGTTAAACATCTAGAAAAAGCACATTTGAAACAAACAAGGAATAATGAAGAAAATATTTGTAAAAGTTGCGGTTTCACTGCTCACGACAAAGATGAACTAAAGGATCATATTACAAACCTACACGTCAAAGATGTTAAAGTGCAAAACAAAGATTATACAAAGCAAAGCGACAAATGGCAAAAATACATACCGGCTGTGTGTCCCGAATGCAATAAAACATTTTCAAACAAATACAACATGCTTATACATATGAAAAGTCACAAAGGTGTCACAGAAAAACACCCGTGCGATAGATGTAACAAAGTTTACAAAAGTAAAGCCAGTCTCAAGAGTCACCAGGATATATCTCACGAGGGAATTTTAAGTTTCGTTTGTTCGTACTGCGGCGAAGCTTTCCCGTCGCGAATCGCGCGTGATGTGCACAGGAGGATACACACCGGAGACAAGCCCTACACCTGCGAACACTGCAACCGATCCTACCGCGCTAAAAACACACTCGATCGCCATTTGGAAATACATTTAAACGTTCGAAACTACGAATGCTACATATGCTCGAAGAAATTTCGAAGGAGCACGCATCTCAAATACCACTTAAATACGCACAGAAGGAAGAAGTAAATTAACTGGGTTCTTTGTTGCAGATGGACACCCAGCAGCGCTAATTGCGAGAATACATATCGATCGAGGATTATTAATGAAAATGAAATAAATGATACCAATAAAAATATTAAATCGGATACTTTATCTGCATCTGCTGAAAGTGTTTCCGACGTGTCTGATAATGACGATCGTCCTCTTGCAGCGATCGCAAGTGAACAATCGAACGATTTGTATAGAAATGTTTACAATGCTTTACTTAATTTTAGAAATCATTACGTAGCAGAGCACGACAGAAATACGTCAGATTATCCCGACTTTTCGGATTCCAGCGATTCCGAAGTCATACAGGACACTAGAAGTGATGAAGATGGAGATATAAATAATTTTGACGATTTGACTGAATGGAATATGCGCAAAGGAAAGATGGACGAAGAGACCAGACTGGAATTAAACGAAGTGCAAAGAAAAGTCGACGGAAAGGTTTTTTTCGCATGCAAAATATGCGACAAAAATTTGAGCACCATGCACACTTACATATTTCACAAACGTATTCACACGGGCGAGAGACCTTGCGTGTGTCACGTTTGCGGAAAACAATTCAGAACGCCAAACGGCCTCCAACGGCACTTGACGGAGACGCACCAGCGGTTACGCCGGCATTCGTGCAGCTTCTGCCCGAAGAACTTCGCCAACACGCAGAACTTGAAGCAGCACCTGCGCATCCACACAGGCGAGCGGCCTTTCGTCTGCTCACACTGCGGAAAGCGGTTCACGCAGAGCGGCTCCTTGCACGTGCACCTGAAAACACACAGCGAGCAGTATCCCTTCCATTGCGCCGAGTGCGGGGCCAAGTTCCGGCTGCGGTCCGGCCTCACCAGGCACAGGCTAAAGCACACCGGCGAGCGGCCGCACGCGTGCTTGCATTGCGGCAAGGCCTTCCGCCAGAAGCACGATCTCCATAGCCACGCGCTCGCACACACCAACCCCAAGCCGCACGCCTGTCTGCTGTGTGGCGCCGCCTTCAGGCAGCAACGCGCCCTCAAACACCACTACAAGAGAGTGCACCAAAGCGAACCTCCCAAACAACTTGTCAATGAACCACTGTTTAATCATGTCGGACAATATCAGTGACTAATCCATCGTCTTATTTGTAAGATCATTACATGCAATTACAAAAAAAAAATCATTCATGTGAAAATATTAGACGAATTACGATAATAAATAATAAAAAGAAATCAATTTTATTTTCAGTATAACGATAAAAGAAATTAAGTTCAAAGTTGAAGTGGAAACAAACGAGATAGAAAATGAAGCCTCTCAGGACACGCGGAAAGAAATACAAAACATAAATAAACCCCTCACGATAACAAATGAAGAGGGAAAAAAGTACAATCATTGCAATATTTGTGACAAAAATGTTGCATTTGGATCTTGGAAACGGCACATGCGAGCTCACATCGGAGAGAAAAGATACAGTTGCCACACTTGCGGGCTGGCGTTCAATGACAGCGGGAACCTGGCGCGCCACAGCAAAGCCATACACGCTAAACACAGACCGTTCTCCTGTACTGTCTGCGACAAAACCTTCACGAGGAATGGCCACCTTCGGGACCATATGAAATCTCACTCGGAAAGCAGAGAGTTTGTCTGTGACATTTGCGGCAAGGCTTCCAAGTCTAGCGCGGCGCTTCGCATGCATCGGAAAGTTCACCAAGACGAGTGGAAATTCAGTTGTATAAAATGCGGTGCGAAGTTCAAACGAGGCGGGGAACTGCGGGCCCATGTCACCGTCCACACTGGAGAAAAAGCTCACTCGTGCTCCTGCGGCAAATCTTTTCGTCTTCGCAGTCAACTCAACGCACATTATAAAACACACGGCGTAGTAAAACATCAGTAGAAAATTGCACATTGCTTAGTTGACGAGCCCGATTTGTTACAGGTTAAAGGATTCCTTCCGCGAATCCGACGGGTGCAAAGACTTCGATAAAAGAAAGATTTGCGAATACTGCGGCATCAGACAAACCGAGGAAGATTACCCGGAGCACGTGATCTCTATGCATTCGGAAGATTTGCTTCCTTTTCGCGAACGAGATCCCTTTCTGTACGTCATAAGCGACGACGACGATCAATACGAAGATGACAATCCCACTAGAAAATTTAAACAGATCAAAACATTGGAAAACCTTAAAACGGCAGAACCTGCGGTGAAAACTAAAGTGCCTGACGCAGGGCAAATTAATAAAAAACCAGGATCAGCAAAAAATCCTCCGACAGAGAAGAAGAAGCGCCAAACTAACGACAAAACAAGCGCTCCTAAACCTATATTACATATAAAAGCAGCAACCAAAGAAAAATTAACTAGAAATCCTAGGTCAGAAGTCTGCAAGGAACGAAAATCAAATGTTTCCATGGCGTCCAAAAATTCTCGAAATAAGCAAAAAGGCAAGAAGCTCGCGCCGGCGGCAGTGAGCGCGGACCTCGACGCGCCGCTCGAGATCAACGGGCCGAGCAAACAGATCGACAACGTCGAGATAATCATGGCGTGTGTCGATAAGCTCAACGCCAAGAAGAAGGTAAAGCCGTTGCGTTGCAAGTACTGCCCCCGGGTGTTCACCGCACGTTCCAGCTTCGAATATCACGTTAAAAATTCTCACTTTATTAAGGAGACGGAGTGCGAAAAATGCCACAAAAAATTCCGAAACAAGCAAGTTCTGTCGCAGCACATTAGTCACATCCACGAGGGCCACAAGAAGACATACATTTGCAAATATTGCCATAAGTCGTTCTGTACGGCGGCGAACTTGTACTGCCATGAGCAGACCCACTTGGATACGAAGAAATGGCCGTGTACTAAGTGTAAAAGCTCGTTCCGTTGGCGCACGCATCTGCTGCGACACATGAAGCGGCACTCGGAAGAGCCGAATCTCGGGTGCCACTTGTGCGACCGCCGCTTCAACGTGCTGGATGACCTGCGCCGACACGAATTCACGCACACAGAGGACAAACAAGAATGCTACCGCTGCGGCAAGCAGTTCTCCCAGCTCAGGTATCTCCGAGTGCATATGGCCAAGAAACATAATGAAACCATAGCCGGTAATTAAATTATTGTACCCTATTTATCATTACTATATACTTAGAGACTGATATTAGCTAATTCCAAGTTTTGATCGGTTTTAATTATTTATTGTATTATTTAAGTGTTCGTAGGTAGGTCTTTCCTTTACTCCTTTGTAACCTTCTCTAATTAATAATATGTGATCATGGATTAGTATTAATAAAACACAAGTTTACATGATGTTTTTATTAATTTCCAACATGTCATTAAATTACAATTATATGTCGCTTTCTACAGTTATATTGAATTATTTACATTAATGAATAAAAAAATATGTGATAAAATGTTCCGGCATGAGATCAAATATATTACATTTTAATTGTCTTATTACAAAGATTATCAAACAAATTGACATGAAAACTTTTAATGTATGGAATCATTATCGATATACCATAAATTAGAATCCAATTATCTTTTATCAAAAGATGTAAATTCACAAATCTAATATTACTCTATTTTTTACACAAACATAAGCCAACAAGAAATTAACATCGAAATATCACTTTCCGCCGAACATTAAAACGACATTCAAATATTTCTTAAATGTGACATGATCAAGAGAGACGTGATGACAGATGACGGAAGATAGATTTACTTGGAGGACGTAAACCTAATGCGACCCTACAGGATTAGGATAAGAACGGGATAATGAGTCGTTAATGATAAGACTTTGCTGAATCTCCTAATTCTAATGAAACTTTGATATCTGCCGAACCGAAGTCTTTAGCAATTCAGTATTCGGCCATTACAATATTAGAATCAAACAATATTAGAATGGGCCTTTTCTACTATAGCTGACAATATTCTAAATTTATTTTGTACAAAACACTCATTATATTACTTTAAAAATTAAATTACAATCTCAACTTCATTATCTGAATTACAATAAAAATTTACTTATAAATATCATTAAATAATAGTATTAAATATAAATTAAATATCACATACTTTATAATTTTAAATAGAACAGCAACAATAAAGTTTACTTTTTACCCTCCACATCAGTACAGTCAGCTGCATAAAGTATACATTTACGCCTCAGAAACTTGTATATTTCAGTTTCAAAAATATGTATTTCTATGTCCATCTATATACTTCAGATCACTATTTTATGAGTGCTATTACTACATTCCTACATGGGTAAGAAAATGGGAACCAAAAAGTGTATTTTAGTTACATATTTATGTCGCTGACTGTACATATGGGTAACGACATCTTTTACTTAGAAAAACTGTATCTAACAATCATCTACATTGATATTATAAAGTGGTAAGATTTGTATTTTTAGATGTATTATGAAAACTCAAAAACTATGGGGCGGAATAATAACAAATCTTTGACGATTAAAAAGCTATGTTATCACTGAGTAACATAAGCTATGCTTTTAACAATTTTACACACGGACGAAATCGGGAGCAATAGCTGGTATTAAATAAAATGAATAATAAATGCTTTTACTCTTTGTGTGGAGAGTATCAAATCACTTACAATAAACTTAATGTAGTGGAGGTGTGGACCTGCCTTCTACGGCCGTGGGCGATTCGTTTTCGTTGACTAAACGCTGCCGTTCTCTGTACATGGAGACTTGAATGTTCTGCAGCTGGTGGTAGCGACACACTTTTAATGTAGAAAATACTGCAAGGCCTACCCAAGTTGCAAACGCACCCCATGCACCAAACTGTAAGAACACAAGATATATTTTAATACTCATTATAAATGCTAATGGCATGGATGTAGAACAATCTAGAAGACCGCATAGGCTTCTTAGCAATCTCTCAAACAAAATATTGTTCTAAAAAGAAATGACTCTCTTTATATAAAATTATTTTTTCGAATTTACTACAGAAACAAACAATATATCTGAATTACGTAGATATTTTGATTTAGCTTAAATTTTAATAAAATTCAACTAAATATGTACTTGTAAGTTTTTCAACTACCTACATTAAAATAAACTTAATACTATACTTACTTGAGCTGTACCCATTTCAATGTAAAAACCATTGGTAGATATTTTATCTCTCTTATCAATGTCCTGTCCCGCTGCATCCTCACAACTACAACAAAGCAATAAATTAATTAATTGAAACATGTTTCTATACCAAAATTTACCATAAAAATTTTCACACAAACCTACCTTGGAAATCTCTCAACGATAATCTTGCACCAGTTCATAAATCCAAGGGTGACAAGACATGCGGCAGACACGGCCAGCCCGCAAAGTGTCATGCAACCCACAGCCTCAATGAAAGCAGACAGGAAAGAACTGTCTTGTCCTTTGTACATGAATATAGATAGTCTGAAATAACATCAAATGGTAAAGATTTATGCCTACAAGATGAAACTTAGTCTTTGACTTCTTAAATGAAATTAAACTTGAAAAAAAAAAAACAGTTGCATAAAAAATGTTGACACTGATAAATCTACAATAATAATAGTAATAATGGTCTCATATTTAGTTTACTAATATAATAATATTAATATAGTTATATAAAACATACCTATATATTTGTACAAGGCAGACTATGAACATGAGTACCCCAATAGCAATAACGTAATTGCAGTACGCCTGAGAAGCCCAGGACACCAGCAGCTGTCCGTCTTCCTCCTGCCATGCCCCTTTTGAGAACAATAGACAGTGACCCCTGTTGACAAAAATATCAGTAAAATAGACAAAAGAAATTCAATCAGTTTAACCGAATTTATTTAAAGCAAAATTATTGACACGACAGCTAAATCATAATCAAATTGGCTGTAGAGTGCAAATAAAGAAAATATTAAAAACAGATATTGACCCAAACTCATCCTGATGCATGCTCATAGGAACAATGATACAGAGAGACAAAATAAAGCCTATAACATAACCGGCAATCTGGCTCAACAATAGGACATTTGTAAGAGCCATTTTTTATTATAAATTCAATATTTATACACTTTTAAAGTCTTTTGTAACAACGCAAAATCAAAATATTGCTAAGATCTAAGATGATGACAAATACGTAAATAAAGAAAATGTCAATTTGACAACTGACCTAACAGAGTATTGATTTATGATTTTAGTAGAAAACTATACTTCATTCAGCCACCACATGTTAAGTTTTCACCAAAATTAGATCTTCTAAAATAAATTTACAGTGATGAAAAGTAATAATTCATTATTTTACATAAAACTTTATCGTCTTGCATTAGTTACAGTACTGATATAGAAATGTTATGTTCCTGATTTATTTAAGTTTTCTGAACAATTTGCGTAAAACTAGTTATAATGTCAAATGTCAATTAAAAAAAGCGTAATGTCAGAATAAGACAAATCGGACGTTGATGATGTGTTTCAATCAAAGTATAAAATAAATTAAGTTAATTGAACTTTTATTATGATAAATCTCTTCTTCTGACCTAAAACTGTTACAAAACATGAATTTCAACGCATCTAGAAACGGTAAGTGGCCAACAATCCCCTAACACTATCACATGTGTTGTGTTTTACCCTTTGACTTATATTTTGCCTTTCAACCACCAAAAGAACTTTATCATTCTAATACGTAATTATGTTATTAATCGAGACACGATAAATGTGTACTTATGTATTGTTTTTGTTTGTTTAGTCAGTCTTTCAGGTGGTCCAAGGAAGGCGAAAAGAGTTAGTGATGTTTCTGCTATGGGAGCTCCTTCACCGGTGCAGCAATATAGTCCTAACCCGATGTACAACCCTGGATATCCAGCAGGACCGCCACCGCCGTACCAAGAGGGAATACAATTAGATCATGGACAAGATTTTGGTACCACAGAACCATCTGGAAGTAAGTTACTTGATTTAATATATTGTTGCTGCTTTTCAAAGAAAATAAATAATCAAATCTTGTTAATTTTATAAATGCGAAAGTTAGTAAGGGTAACAACAACAACAACTAGTATGAATATAAACCGAGTTGTGAGTATTTAGAAAAAAAATCACAACTGTTTATAACAAATAGTTGTTTTCATTCCTATGCTATGAAAAAGTCAAAAAGAATATTTTTGTTATGGTTTTAAAATCTTTATAATACTTTAATTTCAGGTTTAAGTTATGCAAGTGGGTATGGTCAAACACCAATGGCTTCACCAGCCCAAATTGGTTCCTTTTTGCAACAACCTGCAGTACAGGTAAACATTTCTCTAAACATTTTGTTTTTGCCATTGGCTAACAATTGTACCATGTTGTTTCTTTACTGCTATTTGCTTGTAGTTTATGTATCCCTCTATCACATTAAAATCAATTCAGCTCCCAATATAAATAATGTTATTGAAGAAAAATATTCAATAATATGCCATTATGACTACTTAACTTATTCCAGGATATGGCTCTACAGTACGGAAACCAATTAGCCGCTCAGGGTCGAGAAGTAGTACAGCGTGAGATCGGTCGCTATGTCCCTGTGTCGCGGCTAAGATATTATTTCGCTGTAGACACACGTTATGTTATCAAGAAACTATTACTAATAATCTTTCCATACACACATAAGGTATAAGTTTTTACTAAACATTACAAAAAATTAATTTAATCCTTAACTAGATAATGTCCAGTGTAACAAAGAAACTGATTGATGATTGACTGATTTAAAAAATCTGTTAAACAAGCTTATTTCATATATAAAAAAACATTTTTTTTTTGCTACAAAATATTCCATATAATTTACCTTTACTTGACTCTTTAAACATTTGCAATGAGTGATTTGACAGTTTTCTTTTACATTTTAATGCTCTCTTTTACTTATTTTTCTTTATAGAAGTGTTTTTTTTTAAGGATTGGATGGTTAAATATGACCAGGACACACCGGTACAGCCCCGATACGATATAAACGCACCAGATCTTTATATACCTTCAATGGGTTATGTAACCTATGTGTTGTTGGCAGGATTTATGCTTGGTAATCTTTTTATATATATAATCTCTTTACTTTATTATTATTTTCGAGGTTGATTACTTGAGTATTGGTGGCTCAGGGATCAAGTACTTGTAATCTAGTTTTGGGTTCGAATCCTACGTTATACTAATGTATATTTCGATTTTCGACTTTCATATTTACATAATTTACCCAATGTATAATAATGAAGGGAAACTATGTAATGCAACCTACACATATCAACAAAGAAATTTAAAATTATGTGTCAAGGCTAACCGCAGTGGACCAGTGTGGTTGTTTATAGTCTATTCAGCACTAGCTTACACTTAAGTTAGGCTCCAAGCCCCTCAAGCTCTTCGAGCGGATCATTGCTGCTCGCCTCGTCCAGCACCTGGAGACAGTGGGGCCGAACCTCAGCGCCAACCAGTTCGGATTCCGCAGG